AAAAAAAAAAAAAATAGCTCCTACGAAAATGTTCCAAAGGACTGAAGATGTAGTGTTAAAAAGATCTGCATTGCAGTTTTTTTCTCTATATAAAAAAAGAGACAGTCTAAATTCCTAATGCTAAGTAAGGCATGTCTATCATATATCCAGTGTTTTCCAGTCACTAATTGCTATGAACATTCCGTTACCTGTCTTCTGAATTCAAGTGCACATTTCTCTATCTAGAAGAGGAATTGCTGGGTCATTGTCTATATGTGTAGATATTGCCAAGTGCTTTTGTGGTTTTGCCAGTTTATTCCTTATTTTTCTCCACTGTTTTTCATTTTTGACATATGTTTGCATGTACTGCTACCTCATTGTTGCTCTGCTTTGCATTTCCCTGATCAGCTGATGACACTATGCTCTTTTCATGTGATTGGTAGTCACTTCAGTATGTTCTTTGTTTTTGTGTTTGTTTTTCCTACTGGGTGATCATTTTTCTTATTTTGTAGTAATTCTTTATATATATTCTGGTTTTGCGTTCTTTTCATGATCTTTTTATTTTTGCCTCTGCCTCATTGTTATCTTTTGATAAACAGTTACGACTATTTTTAGCTTACTTTCAGTGTTGATGACATTAATTTTTATTTATGATTACCACTTTTTGTGTTCTCTTTTAAAGTTTCTTTCTACTTCTTGGTCATAGGTATTCTCAAGGCATTTCCTTAAATACTTTGTTGTTTTTCCTCCTACACATATTACCATCAGTCCATTCAGAATTTACTTTTATGTATGACAATATGAGGTAGGAATCAAAGTATAAAGGTACATTTTCCTTTGCGGGATTTATTCATTTTAGAGTGTCAGCTACCAAATCTATTATGTATTCATGAGGAATAACACTGAAGTGGCCATCTTTCCTCAAATCACTTTATACAATGACTTTATAGTATTAGAGAAGCCTAGATTAGTCACACTATCTTTTAGAAGGAAAGGCAAATCCATTCTTAATGACATTGCTAAATCCCTTTTTAACATACATAGCTGATTGTCTCACTGCTTAATAGGAAATTAGCTCTGTACCCTTCTATCATTATTCTTTGCAAGTAAATCTTGGAATCTTTGCAGCAGCTAAAAACAATGCTAAATCTGTTCAAAAGTTAGTCACAGTGTACAAGAAATCATGGCAAGGCATCTCATTCATTGAAAAGGAACATGAAATTACGCTAAGTCAGGGAGTTAAATTTTACAGCTGGTTTGCTTTGGCCCACAAGCCACAGGCAATGATCCTTGAAACTTGACTTTCTAAAGAAACACTACTGATGGATGTTATTTAATGATTATATCATGCCTAAAATTTTTTCAGACACTATAATGATTTCTTCAGAAGCTTTTATTATGCATTTGCCCTATCCAATTATAGTAAGATTTCTGAGGGCAGTGCTCTGTTTACTTTCTTACTGAATCCCCAGCACATAACCTGTATCATTGACTGGAGATTCAGGGGCTTCATCAGATAAATCCAAAAGATTAATTCCTTTGAGATTTTTAATCTTTGTTTTTAATGTTAAGAGATATCTATACCTGTTCCTTAAAAAATTTGTAGATTTAAGGATTATGGTCTTTAATTAAACTAGCTTCATTTCCCTATTAGAAGTGGACAGAACTAATGTACATTTGCTCTAGTAAATAACTTCCCACTTCTAAGTGACAAGTACCTAAGAGGGAATTTGTTCAACCATCTCACACTTCCCAGTTGTTTACATTATCTTCTACTTAGTCAGGAACATAATCAGATCTCCTAAGTTTCATAACACTGTTAATCCCACTCCTAGTATATTTAAAATCAGATGAATCTCTTCTTTTGAATATAGACTATATTCTAGTGTCTTTCTAGAGTTTAATTTGTTGCTTCCAAAAGCGTGGTTGACATGAGCATTGAAAGAGTTATGATACTGTGATATAAGACTTTCAGCTTCTTTTCTAATATTGTTTGGGTTTTCATTTGTATGTCCTTTATAGTCCTCTACACATTTAGACTCAACTTGTTAACTTATCTAAAAACAAAACTAGGATTTTGATAAAGATTGGATAGAATCAGATCAGTTTGGGGAAAATTGACATCTTAATATGGAGCCTTCAAGTCCACGATTTGTTTAGTTCTTTAATGTTTCTCAGCAACATTTTTTTAAAAAGATTGATTTATTTATGCATACAGAACTGGGGTACAGGCCAGAGGTGCAGAGGCAGTGAGAGGATTCACCAGAGACAGAGTGGGGAGCAGAACAGGCAGATCAACGAAGTACACTGCTGAAGGGGGCAGCAGGCAGGTCAGGAGAGGTCTGCCACGCCATTCACCTCTGGGGCTGGGTGAGGATCAAACTCATGCTGAAGTGGCTTTAGCTTCTTAGTGCTGTGCTTTAACCCACTGTGCTACCAGGGAGGGCCTCTCAGCAGCATTTTTTAAATTTCAGTAAACTAGTTTTGAATTTCTCTTTTTGAAAGTATCTTTACATATCTTAATCTTTTTTAATACTATTATGGAGTTTAGAAGATTTCATTTCAGATTGTTGCTAGAATTTGAAAACACAATTGCCTTTTGTATGTTCATCCTGTGATACAACTAAGCTTCCTTCTAGTTCTGGTGTGTGTTTTTGTTGTTGTTGTGTTGTTGTTTCACCAGATCATAAATAGTACTCAAAAATGGTACCAGGAAGTATACATTACTGCTACTTAAGTGAGGCTTGCTAGAGTTTAAAGCATTTGGAACTCCTTACTTTAGAATCTATTCAAAAACACATGTTTATTTTTGATATTTTGCTTCACCTTTTTTCTGTCTTATAAAATTATTATCTGTGCTGAGGGATAAATATTTGAGTAGACACTTGGAGATATGCATCTGAAATTCAAGGAAGAGGCTGTGAGTGGAAACATAAAAGTGAGCTGTCATATCATACTTACAACTATATGACTGTATATGATTACTGGAAGGGATTGATTAGAAGCCCATCTGTTCTTAGAAGTTCTTGAGGGAAACTGAAAAAGATTTGAGTAGTGTCCTGATATAAGCAATCAAGGGCTATCCTGAGGAAGCATATTAATAAGACTACTTAACAACTATTCATTTAATTGTGAGCCACCTTCCTGCAAGAAATTTTTAAAAATGTTTCAGAATTCCTTGGTACTATTTTAAAGGGTAAATTTATCTCTTACTTATTTATACTGTATGTTGATTCTTTATCAGATTATTTATTCCTGTACTATTTTTAAGTTTTAAATCATTTGAACAAGTATTTCTTTGCATTTATTTTCCAGACTAATGTGATTTTTTTAATAGGTAAGCTTTCTAGTTACAGTTTATACTAATTGCCCAGTTTTGTTTAATATTCTGATTTTGTTATCTGCACTGTAAATACTAATTATGCCAAATATTTGCTTCTCTTTCATTCCTAGGCAAATACTGTGGTCTGGGGTTACAAATGAACCATTCAATTGAATCAAAAAGCAATGAAATTACAGTTCTGTTCATGAGTGGAATCCATATTTCTGGACGAGGATTTTTGGCCTCATACTCTGTTATAGATAAACAAGGTAATTTTCACTTTATACCATGGTTGACACATAGTACAAGTTTTGAAAGCAGAAATGAAATGTTTCTTTGCTTAGAAAGACTAAACAATAACATGTATAAATTTGAAAAATAAAATTAGATCAGTTTCAGCTCCCAAAATTAGATCAAAATGTTTATATCAAGTCCATATACTTACCTTTTCATAATAAAGAAAACATGATTTTTCACTTTCGTTAGATTGCAACTCAGATAACTCTTAGAAATAATGTCAGCCACTGAAATGTTTCATATCAGTTTAAAACTTCACTATATATAGCTTACCATTTTGTAGTACTTTGTTAAAGATCTGTCATCATTCTTCATAAATAAAGTTTCATACTGCTAAAAGTAACCTGGAGATTTCTCTTTAAGACATTACTAAATAAAAATGAGATTATTTTCTGGATTGTTGATGTGTAGACTCTGAAGGGGAAAATTTTGAAGCAAAGCTAGTAAGTGTAATAGCATCCAAAATTTAACTGAATGTCTAGGATAGAATGCAGTGCACGTCTTGAATGACACGTCTCTCACAGTTTAGTACTCATTCCTCTCTGCTATGAGGGGTAGCTGTGGTGAGAAAATTTATGATATGCTGCTACTATAAGGATATGGCAAAACAGTCATCTAAATTAGAAAATGAGGTCATTTTGACATTACACAGTGATTTTAAACTAAGTTGAGCATTTGAAATTAAAATTTTACTTTTACTTTATAGTGCAAAGGAGAAAAAGACAGTCAAGAACCTCTTGGGCATGAGAATATTGGGCACTGGGAATGCTGAGGGTGATACAATCTGATACAACTGTGGTGGGTTTGTGATAATCACTGTATTTCCTATTTTTAAGAAATGTATGAAAATGTGATAAAGAGAGGTATTCTATGAGAGAAGCCAGCCCTTAATTTCTAAGCTATGTTGCTTCATCAGTAGATTTGGAATAGTAAAAATCCCTTAGAATAAGAAAGAAAACACATTTGAATGGAATAATGGAAGTAAAGAACTTAAACATCATGATAAATGAGTATTTTTGACAAAAACCAAGAAAGTTAAGGTAGTGTGGTAAGGGGCACTGTATATTTCTAAATTCAAAGACACCACTTCAATTCTGTGACCCTCATTTAAAATGGGTTAGTTGTGAGAACCAAAATAATAACACATATGGTGTCTTAAGGCACAAAGGAAAGTTAATTTTCTCTACTTCACCACTGTACACATGCTCACATACTCACCCTCACCCCGCTTCATCAAAAGAGTAGAAAACACAGAGTAAGTTGGGGTAGATTTCCACTCTTTTGGTTTTCTTTCCTAAAAGTTAGGTTGGTAGGTGAGGATAGGACTGTATATATATATATATATATATATATATTTTTTTTTTCCCTTATTCTCAAACTTTTTGGTCAGAATAACAGGTTAAATTATTTTGGCTCATATTTTTCCCTTGTTATTTATTAAGCGGAAGTTTTCTCAGAAATAAGTATCTTCACTTTTGATAGAAGGTTCTTATATTGGGTATTTAAATTACAAACTTTGATGCATAGAAACTTGAACTTGAATATCCTGCGTAGTTTCTGAAGAACTGGCAGTGATCTCAGATAACAGAATCAGTACGTTGTAGACTTACGTAGACATATGTCAGATAGCTGTATAGTTTAGGTGAATTGTAATTTCCACCGGTTTTTAAATAGCCACCATTATGTTGTTACTTCTTTATAGTAACACTTTCAGTACTCTTAGTCATCTTGGGAGATCATTATGTCACAGCTCTCCTCTCCACTGCATTCTATCCTAGATATTCAGCTAAATTTTGGATGCTATTACACTTAGCTTTTTTCATACCCTCAAACATTTGTTTTATTTGAAGTGGGTGAACTGGCAAAATTCAAGAGAACACTGGTTGGATTTCTTATTACTACTTCTTGGGTGGCCTTTCAGTCACAATTTCTTGTAATGACTCATTCATCTGAAGTCTGGTTGGCTTTGGTTAAGAACCTCAGTTTATTTCCATCCAGGAAACTTAATTGCATACTGAATTCCATGAATATTTTCAAGGAACATTGCTATATGTCCCCAGCTTTGCAACTTAGCTGAAAGTTTAAGGTATTTGGAAATGAAAAGATTGTGAAAAACCTTGCTTCAGCCTCTTCTTTGTTCAACTCTCACAAAGACTTATTAATGTCATAATGTGTTGTTGATAGAGTTGTAGTTTTTGTGTAAGATACATTGATTTTCATTATTTTGTATAAAAACCCTTAGTAAAACTATGTTTTATTCAGTGCCTCATTTCCTGTTGTGTACCTGGCACCAGGAAAACAGCAGTAAATAAGAGTCATGATCACACTTTCGTAGGGTTTTCAGTACAGGGTTGGAAAAGAAACATTAAATACATGAGGATTTATTTGTAGTTATAGTAAGAATGGCTAAAGAAATGTCAAAAGTATGGCTAAAGCTAGGAAATAGAAGACTGATAATCAAAGCCCTCCTGGTGAAGTCACTTTTAAGCTGAGAACTGAAGGACTGGTTAAAGTTACAGGCAGACAGCATACTACGGAAATAATAACAGGTGCAAAAGACTTAATGTGGGGAGCTGTTTGGGAGATGAGAACAGAAGCCAGCATAGCTGAGGTGGGGTGAGTGTGGTGAGTAGGTGACATTATCTAGGGTGTTACAGCAACTGAACAGAGGAACTTTCCCTGAGAGTGCACAGAAGCTGTTGGAATGGTATTACCAAGACCTTCACTGTTCCATGAAGAGTGCATAGAAGAAGCAAGAATAAATGTAGCCAAGCTATTAGAGGAGACTGGATCAGATGTAGTTGAATTAAGAGGTCTTGTTAATAAATGTAACTCCAGAGTCAGGCCAGATTCCAATTTAATTCTTTTAAAAGACTTTAGAACCAGATTTATCTACAACAAGGAAACATTTTTAAGAATCGGGATTCATCCTATCTAAGTTTAAGTAGTAATAAGAGAAATTAGATGCAATAAAGCGCTGTTGGATAAAGCTGAAATGCCCATTGTGCCTGGGACCCTTACCTGTTGACCACTTCATTTGTGTGTCTAGTTTTCATGATTTTTATTTTTGCTACATTGAATGATATTTGAACAAGTTTCCAGTCTTTTCCAATACTAGTTATTTCCTTTAATGTTCACCTCTAAACCCCTTTTTTGAAAGTTGTATCTACCAATGAAAGCAGTTTTTCCCGCTTCCCAATTGAGTAGCAGGACAAGTCATATTAATTTTTCTCAGCACTTATAATAATTATAAGAGAAATTGGTATAAGTTCATTAGTTTCCAATGTACACCCTGAATCTGAAATTTTCATTTGAAAATTGAAGATCTATGTGGAGCCTCTATAAACCCTAGATGTCATACAAGCAACCACTGTTCAGCAATTCCAATATCCTGGTTTTAATGAGAGGCAGAATCAGCTGCTCAGAGGTCCAAATGCAGTAACACAGATCTTTTCATCTAGTATAATGATACAGGCTGCTGATGTCTTCATTCTGAAACATAAAGCATTTACTTCTTGACTTGAAAATAAAATAAATGTATAAGTGAGTGATCTAAATTCCCTGTTTTGAATCTGTTCAGCATCAGCAATTTCTAGCAAAAGCTTAGTATTTCAAGGCTGTTACGGGGCACTGTTTTTGTGAAGTTATTTTGCCTATAGACATTGAAATCAGAATACATATCTCCATTTACAATGAAATTGTCTAGGAGACGGAAGAGGGAAAGCATCTATCTGCACAGGACTTGAGGTGGAGAGTGAGTGAAGCATTGCACTTTTGGCAGTAAAATGTATCCCTAAATGGTTATAGTTGTGTAAATGACAAATTAATAAAATTTGAGGGAGAAAACATTTCTATTATTTCAAGGCCATTCTGTGAGGGGTGTGTGTGTGTGTGTGACAAATTAATGAAATTTGAGGGAGAAAACGTTTCAGTTATTTGAAGGCCATTCTGTGAGTGTGTGTGTGTGTGTGTGTGTGTGTGTGTGTGTGTGTGTGTGTAGAGTTCGCTAATCCAGATTATTGTGGTGGTCTTTGGTCAGACTAAAGTTTGCCTTCATTTAGGAGGAGAAAAATAGTAGCTTCAAATTTCATCTGAAATAAAATCATCCAGTGCAGATATTATCACACTCCCTAATTGAAACCCATAAATATTTGTTCACACATTGCCTGCTGACCCTTTAGACTCAGCAAGTACTGAAGACTTGAGTAGCAGAGTCTGGGTAAAATTCCCATTTCATAGGCTTATTGTTGCTCTTTGTCAAACTTTTTTTTAAGAACTAAAACCAATAGTATAAAATTTTCTGATTGTCACATTCTTTTTTTTTTTTTTTAAGATTTATTTATTTGTGCGTACAGAACTGGGGTACAGGCCAGAAGTGCAGGGGCAGTGAGAGGATTCACCCAAGACAGAGTAGGGAGCAGAACAGGCAGGTAGACGAAGTACACTGAGCAGTGATGGGTCAGGAGAGGTCTGCCGCCCCATGTGGATCACCTCCCGGACAGGCGGGGATCGAACTCATGCCAAAGTGACTTTAGCTTCTTAGTGCTGTGCTTTAACCCACTGTACCACCAGGGAGGGCCCTGATTGTCACATTCTTTACCCACACTTTTTGCAAATATTTTCCATTTCTTCCACCCTATGTCAGAATATATCAACTTGTAAGTGAAACATAAGGCAGAATAGAGAGCATTTTGCTATTTGAGTCCAAATTTCTGGTAGTTGTTTTGTTCCTGCATGGAATGCTTTGGTTTTGAAAATAGAGCATGAATTCCTTAGGTTGATTGCTACCTTAATTGTACAGCAGTTTTACAAAATTCTTTGTTAGTACAGCACTTAGCCACATTTCTATTTTTAGTTTTCTGTTGTGTTCCTAATTTCTGTTGTTGTTGTATCTGGGAACTACTTTGTAAGATTTTGTTAATGAGATCTATATGCAAAACTTTAGATTTTTCTTTATATACATACAAATGAATATAAGTACTGTTTGCCAGTACACATGCAGAAAATATCCATATGTTGGTGTTAATTTGTAGAACAGCGGTGCCAGTGAGCAAAAATGTTACCAGTTTTTTGGTAGAGAAAAAGTTTACATAAGCAACTTTTTATAATCTGTTTAAGATAGTCTTAAGAGACCATTCAGTTTGTGCCATATGTTTCATCCCAAATTGGCAGAGAGCCCAAAAAAGCACCTTGTTGATTTTAATGGTTTTTTAGGTTTTTCATTTTAATACCTTAGGAATGAGAGGGAGAGACTGCAGGCATGTGTGCTCTTTACTTGGTATATTCTTCATTTTCTGCATTTCTTCATCTCATTTGTAATCCCCATGGACTTCCCACCACCAGCTCACCCATGTATCACCATAGTCTCATGTACTCTTTCCACCCCAGTTTTGATTCCATTCCCCTCTCCAGCCCTGTAAAATGTCTCTGGTATATAGTTCATTGTTTTTTCCTTTTTACTTTATTACAGTTGCTTTTTTTTCCCCAGTATTTTTCTTTGTCTTTCTGGCTTATTTCACTAAGCATGATCCCTTCCAGCTCCATCCATATTGCTGCAAAAAGCATGAGTTTATCTTTTTCACTGATGAGTAATATTCCATTGTGTATATGTACCACATCATCTTAATCCAGTCATCTATATTTACAAATTTGGGTTGATTCCACACCTTCCCTATTGTAAATAGAGCAGCAATAAACATAGGGATATAGGTGTCCTTTTGAATCAATTTTTTTGTGTCGTTTGGCCAGATACTTAGGAGTAGGATTGCTGGGTCATATGGAAGCTCCATTTTTAGCAGTTTTAGAAACCTCCAAACAGCTTTCCATAGTGGTTGTACCAGTTTGCATTCCTACCAGCAGTGTAAGAGAGTTCCTTTTTCTCCACATTCTCACCAACATTTGTTGTTGCTAGTTGTTTTAAGACGAACCTTTCTCACTGGTGTGATGTCGTATTTCATTGTGGTTTTAATTTGCATTTCCCTTATTACAAGTGATGTTGAGCATTTTTTCATATGCCTGTTGGCCTTCTGCATTTCCTCTTTGGAGAAGTGTCTTTTTAGCTCTTCTGCCCATTTTCTGAAAGGGTTCACTTTTGTTGAGTTTCATCAGCTCTTTGTATATCTCTGTGATCATCCTTTGTCCTTAGCATTGTGTGCAAAAATTTTCTCCCAATCAGTGGGGTCTCTTTGTTTTGTGTAATGTCTCTTTTGCTGTACAGAAGCACTGTAACTTGATGTAGTCCCACTGAGTGTATTCTTTTGCTGCTTTTCTTATAATGTATGTATTGTATATTATAAAATAATAATGTATATTATTTTGGTGGTTGCCTTTTTTTATTACATCATTGTAGTTTCCATAGTTACCACCTGTGAACTTGCACCATATTCCCTGTACATGCAGATGGTGTTCAGAAGTTTGCATATCCAATAAGTTCCCAGAAAATGTAGCTGCTACTAGTTCTGTCCATGGAGGAGATACTGAGTAGCAGTTATTTAGCCCACTTGTCCTTTGTCCTGTAATACACAAGAAAACCAACACATAGGGTTTTCTTGTGTATTACAGTGGATAAGATTTACTACATGGTTGACTAGGAAAAAGACAAACTAAATTACTATGCTTCACTTATTCCCAGCAGTCTTTGTACAGTAGTAATAGGAATTGATTTTCCACTTTCTTTTGCCACCAAAAGAGTTTCTCTAGCCTCTTAAATTAAAAGCTGAACTTCAAAGATTAATAGTCAAGAATGAAAAGGTATAGTACCTGTGTGTTCTAACATGTCAGTCAGACCTCCAGAAAATTGCCAGCTAGCCTCATTACCTCAAGCCATATGGCAGCAAGGTGGTCAAATACAGCTATACCTTATGAAAATAGGGCTTTGGTTATAGGTCCATGCACTACTAAACACTATCATAGGACTAAAGTTCTGGATTCTGCCTTGCAAATAAATGTGTGTAATTGACATGGCCTTGCTTTCAAATTCCATGGGAGTTCAGAGTGCTTTCCTGGAAAAAGTAAGAATTCAAAATAGATAGCTACAAGAAGATTAAAGATAGGGAAAGTCACTTTATAGACTTTGACCTTTAGAAATTCACAAAAACATCAGTTAAGCAGAATATTAAGAAACTTTAAGCTGTTTTTCTTGAGAGCTTTTCCCCAAAGTAGATGTTTCTTTTTATATACATCTGCTTTGATAGATTAAATAAAGCTTAATGAAATATAAAGTCACGTTTGCCAGTTCTTGTGATCATTTCTTCTTCAGCAAATATTTAGTAAGTGTATATGACCAGGTGTTGTTCTAGGCCCTAGAGAGAGCAATCAAGAAGATTAAAAAGAAATAGAAAGTGTACTTCCAGTAGGATGGGAAGAGGTGTAAGAAAATAAACAATATGAATAAGAAATATATTGTTAGATGATATGTTAGATAAATTTTAAAAAAGGCAATTAGGAAGTTAAGGGGTTGCAATTTTAAACAGAATAGTTTGAGCATAATAGTCCCCTACTGAGGAGTTAGTGTTTGAGTAATTAAACTAAAATAGGTAAGGGAGTATGAGTGGGTGGATAACTAAGACTAGAAGGGGGAATGGCAGATGACATTATGTTTAAGTTCAGAGTGACGAAGGGGAAGAAAAATAAGATGACGTCAGGCCACAGGGCCTGGGATCTAAGGACATTGAACAGAGTGAAATTGGGCTTGTGTGCTATTGGGGTCATGCTTAGCACTGGGTTGGCAGTGAAATGAGGGGGTTAAAGAGCAGAACTATAATCCATATGAAAAAGATTTGGGATTTGGAAATAATTGGTGTTTCAACAAGGAAAATAACTTAGAAATAAATAGCATATATATATATATATATTTTTTTTTCTTTTTAGATTTAATTACTTGTTTGGACACAGCAGCAAGTTTTTTGGAACCTGAGTTCAGGTATGACCATAATTATAACTTTTCTTAAATGACATTTTTCATACATTTCACACTTAATGCTAAGTATATTAATCTTAAGAGTTCAATAAATCAGTATATTTAAGACCATTGAATTTCCATGTTTAATTTTTTTTTAATTGTTGCATTTGGGTCTTTTCCACAATGAAAACATAACTTAAATACATTTTTTTTAAAAGTCAGCATTGGTTTACAACACAGTATGATTCAAAAGTGTAATATACCTCTTTGTTTTTTTTAAATTTTACTTACATAGAAGAACTGGGGTTTGGATCAGAGGTGTAGGTGGTGAGAGGATTCACCAGAGACAGTTGGGAGCAGAATAAGCAGATCCACTGAAATACACTGTTGAGGGGAGCAGCAAGTGAAACAGGGGAGGTTTGCTGTTTCATGTGGTCAGCTCCTGATACGGGGTCAGACTCAAGTCTCCACCAACGGCTGCCATAGTGGTAGCACTAAGACAACCTCTAGGCCACCACAGAGGCCCAGGAATATTTACCTCTTTGGATGTATTAAAACATAATTTTAATCTACTTTGGAAAGAGCAATGAACTCTACTTTTAAATCTGGCAAAACTGCTAATAAAGATAGAAAAACTATTTGTATTTCCTCAAGAAAAGGAAGATGATTTAGGCTATTGTAGAATTCCCTGGTGTGCATTACTGTTTCTCTGCTTTATGCCCTTTTATCTTGCCTAGACTAGGATTAACTTTTAATTGATTTTATATTTCAAACCTTTGCTGGCTTTATTCTGCCATTCATATTACTTCTAGATTCTTTAGCCTGGTTTTTGACGTGCTTCACAAGTTGTCCTGGAACACTTTTCTAATCTCACCCTAATATCTCATGTTGAAACAACTCTGGATTATTATCTGAGTTCTTAGAGCATTCACCTGGAATTTGCTGTACTCTCTGCTTAGTAAAATAATTCTCATCATCTAAGACCTATTTCACTAAACTAACCACCTACCCCAAGCTTGCTACCATACCCCAAAAGAAACTCTATCATGTCTTCAAAAAAGATCTCTCTGTATGGAATGTATGTGTCATTAGCACTCATGGAGGTTCCCGGTCAGCAGAGGCAACCCTGGCATGAGTGTATGGCACACAGCCTTGCCAGAGGCTCGAGTATCTCGTGCCCTCCACTTTCCAACTCCATTGTCACTATCCACATGTACACTGCCATTATCTCTCCCATGGACTACTGCACTATTACACATCAATGCCTCATTCCTCTACTCATTGTTCCTTACTTCGAACCTCTTTATTCCCAGGAGCCAGAATATTCTTTTCTAAAACATGACTCGGATCATGTATATAAGTTGTCAGATCCTTGATTGACTTCCCCCTTCTACTTAAATGTATATTCCAGACTCCCCCTCTGCTCCCTCAGGGCCCCTGTGTGATCTCTGGCCCCCATCTACCTCTTCAGCCTTCTCTCAAACTAACCTTACCGTTGCTCATTACATTCTGCCTGTGCTGATCATCCTCAGTCCCAGATACACAAAGGCCAGCCTGCTTCATGGGCATCCTCTTCCTCCTGATTAGAATACATTTCCCTCCATTTCCTCCTGTGACTCCATCACTTCTCTGCTGAGCTTCCCTTCCCCAGATCTCCATCCCTGGCCAAGTCAGTGCAGAGCTTTGCCCGAGAGCGCACACTCCCAAGCTAATCTGCCACTTAACAGCCATGTGACTGTGACACCAGTTTCTCAGCTTCTTTATCTATAAAATCAGAATAACAGTGGCTCTTATGTGCATTATTTGCTACCTAGCACTTACTAAGTTTATCGACCATCTTTTATTAAATTAATCCCAACTATGCCATAGAGTTCCTTTTCTTCATAATACAATCATAAACTGATTAGTTAAGTATTAGTTAAATATTTTCCCCCACCATGTAATAAGCTCAGTGAGGACAGGGACCTTTCAAGTAAATGTGTTCAGTAGTTAACGCATAAGCTAATGATTGAATGAATAAATGAATACATACCAGACATTTTATTAAAACAAATTTGATCAGTTGAACATTGGTAAAAACTTAGTTTTATCTAAAAAAAAATGAGTAGATCTTAAAATAGAAATATATCTGCCATCCATTATGAAGTAAATTAGAGCAAGTGTATCAAATATGAGGTAATTTTTGAACATATGTGGTTAGATATATTTTGTGTATGGATGGATGAAAGCTTGAAAGGTCTTTTTTTGGGTAGTAGTTCTTTCAGGGTGGTAAGGTTATAGTTTTTTCATTGAACTAAAAAAATGGATGTGATATATTTTGTTTTTTTTCCCCTAGAAACTAGAGCACTGTGTACCCTTTAACTTGTTTTCATTTTGCAGTAAGTACTGCCCAGCTGGTTGTCTGCTTCCTTTTATTGAGATATCTGGAACAATCCCTCATGGATATAGAGATGTAAGTTGAACATAGGCTTATCTTAAAGTTGTGATACAGTTTTTGTTTTTTTTTTTTAAACTCCATATACGTTAGATGTTTATCTTTTATGTATCTTGATACTGACTTTATTGTCTAGGGAAATATTTCTTTCTGGTAACCTATAATATTATTTTTCTTTTGCTAACCTGTTATTTTAATTGCATTGTGATCTACCCCATGTTAGAAAGAAAACCACTCAGATGAACTAATTTCTTGAAGTGTGTCTTGTCTATAAGCTATCAAAAATATTAACTCATCTTTGCTTTTTGCCTTCCAGTCCTCACCCTTGTGCATGGCTGGCATACATGCAGGAGTCGTGTCAAACATTTTGGGTGGCCAGATCAGTGTTGTAATTAGTAAAGGTATCCCATACTATGAAAGTTCCTTGGCAAACAACGTCACATCTGTGGTGTAAGTATATGTGCTATTTATCATAAACATGCCAGGTTAGGGTGCGCTTAGGTGCTACTTAGACCAAAGCTGTATCACTGTTAGTGGTGTGAATGAAATAGAATTTTTCTCTGTCTGAGTATATTGAAGAAAACAGGCAAGGTTGTACAGCTTTGGCTGTACAAAAAGGTACAAACTTTGAGCAAAAAGGTAACCATTTGGAAACATGATTTGATCCTTCTCTAAATGCTGAAAAATCTGGAGTGAGAGTTAGAGAAGTCCATTGATAAATCTTTATTTTAAAGCTCAGAAGGCATAGCTACTCTATAGCCTGCATGACCCAGGATGAATTAACTTTAAGTTAGAGTCAGCTACTTTAAACTCATTATATATCCCAGTGACATCCCAAGAAGATGTATTTTCACTGTCTCTACAGTGTTCTGCTACTTTTAGAAACATAGACTAAGCATTAAAATCAAGCATAGTTGAAACATTACATGGAAATGCAGTACTTGTCATTTGTTTTTGTGAACATTCACTCTTGGATATGTTCAGTCCTGCAAACAGTTCTAAGCCTCATTGAAACCAACTTCTCCTCAGAGACCCTCATTAAGAAAACAAGACCATGTCCACACAGGACAGTGTAGAGCAGAAGCCAGCAAACTTTTTCTGTAAAAGAGCAGTTAGTAAATATTTTAGACTTTTTAGACTATCTATGTCTGCATTGTTTTATTTACAACTCCTTCCCCTGTGAAAACCATCTTTACTCATTGACTACAGAGCAGGCTGCACATGTGCAGGCATTTGCCTGTTGCTGGCATAGTGACAGCACTTCAGTTCTTTTGGTTTTTTGGTTTCCTCTAGATGATCTTTATCTAGATCCTTGAGTTTTTTGTGTGTGAACTCCCTCATAAAAATAAGGACAGGCTGCATCTTCTTGGGATACTTGAGTGTTGAACTAAAAGCAGGCATATACTCTGATGATTTTTTCTCAGCGCATTCCTTAGAGTCCTAGACCTGCTGTCACAGCCACCATTCTTCCCAGCGCACCCTTCTGTCCTGCTCTGTAGAATGCAGCGCCGCAGTGTAATACTGAAACTTAGACATGTTGGTTTCTTGCAACAGATTCAATCTATGTTGTTAGCAGTCATCTGTTTTTCTATTTACCCAAGGAAACTTTGAGCCTAATTTGGCAGTTAATACATCTCAGTGTACTTTTACCAAAAGCAGTTGCCACAGAAAACTTCAGGCATGAAAAAGAAATGAAATACATACATATTAAATGCTATTTCGATACACTTGAGTAATGTATGAAATTAAGAACTTAGTATTTTTAGAGAAAGTTGTTTATTCTGGATACAGAAATTCATTCTGTCCTTTATAAGTGAGAAAGTCGTATGCTGTGTGTCACCAACAAAGTCTTTCTTTTTCAGGGGACACTTATCTACAAGTCTTTTTACATTTAAGACAAGTGGTAAGCCTCTCATGGACTTCATAAATAATTATTTGTAAAATATTCGTTTTATTAATGCTGCATCAAATATTGCTAGTCACTGTTTCTTGCACATTGTTAGTCTCACAGTCATGCTAGGTCGCAAGACAGGTGCTTACCAGTATGATGACTGGAATAAAGTAGAGGTTTCATACTGATGGGGCAGCTTCCCTAAAAAATGGTGGTTTTTGAATTTGAAGAATTTAGTCATTCAGCAGAAGGTTTATGTGCCTTTTATTTGTCTGGAACTGTCTTGACCTAACGAAACAACAGTGAACAGAATAAACAAAATCCTGCTTTCTTGGAGCTTACTTTCTGGTAATGACGGAATAAGTAAATTACTACTTATAATGTATACTATTTATAATATGAAAGCTATATAGACAAATAAGGCAAGAGAAGAGGCAAGGCAGGTGGGGTTGAGGTCATGGAGAATATTACATCTGAGCAAAACACCTGAAGGTGATAAGAACAGTCTCCCTGGGAGAGAGGGTATTGTGTTGCCACTAATCTAGGGGGTATTGTTTGTGAATACACGTCTATACATTTCTGATAATACACAGACTAGGAAATGCTTGCCTAATTTTTGACGTTTCTGTATTACAGTATATTACTAGTGTAGTGGTGTTGACTGAAGGTAGGATAGTTTGCAGTAAACAAGCTTATATAGATTTTAATTTCATATCTGGAAATCAGATTTTTTTTTTCTTTCAGGTTGTTATGGAACACTGGGGATGGAATCTGGGGTGATAGCCGATCCTCAAATAACAGCATCATCTGTGCTAGAGTGGACTGACCACATGGGGCAGGAGAACAGTTGGAAGCCAGAAAAGGCCAGGCTGAAAAAACCTGGACCTCCTTGGGCAGCTTTTGCCACTGATGAATATCAGTGGTTGCAAGTAGATCTGAATAAAGAAAAAAAGATAACAGGTTAAAGGATTAAATTTTCTAAAGTAACTTATAATACTGATAGTATTTGGAACCCACGTAACTGCTAAAATTTTCATTAGGTTTTATCTCACCACATTTCTTAGTTAAAAAATCAGGTCACTACAAATTTAATGATGTGGTTTACGTTTTCTCTGCTGGTGTTAATATTACTAAAGATGGTTTTATAAAATGTAGCAGAGAATGGTGTCTGATTCTTACTATCTTTTTCATTTTAATAAGATTCTTTTAAGGTAGTGTTACAGTAAAGTGATCTTGAGACATCTGAAATAATCATCTCTAAAAATCATGAGAAATTCAGGTTCAAGGAGTCCATCTTAAGTGCTATAAATAACATTCTACGTGTGCTGAATATAAATTTATTAGTGAGAACACTTTGGCAGATGTTTAGAATAATTGATTAGGGTTAGTGTAGGTAATTTTGTTAAAGATGATTACTGGTATTATTGGTGCTGAAAATAATGCCAGTAATCATCTTTCAGCTGTTCATTCCCAAGAAATCATTTTTCCCTCAGCTAAAACATGTTGTATGATATGAATACGATTTGCCAAAACAGAGTAATTCTTCCTGTCTCTACAAGGGAACAAAGCCAAGAGTTTAGTTACTGTTGTGATGACACTTTGCATTTAGAAATGGTGATGTGAGTAGGGGAAAATGTTTAAAAAGTGTCTCAGTTGTTTATGCTTCTACATTAAATAAACTGCACCAATCAGACTGAGCACTAATGACACAACTCTCCATTCATCAGGCATTGTAACCACTGGCTCCACCATGGTGGAGCATAATTATTATGTGTCAGCCTACAGAATTCTGTACAGTGATGATGGGCAGAGATGGACTGTGTACAGAGAGCCTGGTGTGGAGCAAGACAAGGTAACATGATTAATTACCAAGCTATTTTTTAAAAGCTGTTTGAGCTTACCCTGCCCTCTTCTGGTTATTTTAGGTAATGTTAGTTATTGGCCTTACCCTACTGTTTTTAGGAAATGTCTCTGTGGTTCTAGTTTGCTAGGGTAAGTAGGCTTCTGACTTTTTTTTTTTGTTTTAGTACCTTTTTAATTCAGTTGTTTTAGATGCTTTAGTAAATTCTTAAAAAAGAATTTTTTATTTCTTGTCTTTTATAATGCTTTTCTCATCAATCCACAGAATAATGAAGAGCATAATTTGTCCCCAAAATTGTATTCTGTAGGTAAGGGGACAAAAGAACTGAACGCATTAAATAACAGGTTATAATGGGAATGGCAACTGAGGTGGAAAAAAATGCACAAAATGATGTAAAAATAAAAAAGTTAAAAAAAATAACAGGCTATAATATACTTGAAAGATCATGTCAAGATTACCTCACTAACTTCTGTCTGCTTTTTCAGTTTTTCCTGCAGATTTCTATATTTGAATCATTTTTATTATTTTTTAGTTAATTGAAGTACCATTGGTCTCCCTCCTTGTTAGGGTTTTGGAAGTGTAGGCCTCCCCAGTGTAGTCCCTGAGGGCACCACCACATATGCCTGTAGCCCTCCTCCATAACCAGTCCTTCTCATCGCTGGTCTCCCCTCCTGGATGCCTCCGTTCTTTGGTCAGCTTTAAAGGCTTCGTTTTAAAGTATCTTTGACCCTTTGTTTAGTTTCTCTGTATTCTGCATATAAGTGGCTCCATTCAGTATTTATCTTTTCCTTCTGGCCAATTTCACTTAGCATATTCCCTTTTACTGCCTCTTGTTGCTGCAGAAGGCATGAGTTCGTCTTTTTGGGTCATTGAATAATATTCCAGTGTGTATATATACCACGTCCTTTTGATCCACTAATCTATTTTTGGGCACGTAGGCAGTTTTCATAGTTTGCCCATGATGCTGCAGTGAACGTTAGAGTATGCATTTCCTTTCAAATTAGTGTTCTTGCATTCTACCTGAAGAATTTTCTTAACTTCTAAGGTATTACGAAAATGTGAATAAAAAATTATGCTGGAATATACCTTAGCAGATAAAGGTTTTTGTGTAGGCAAAAGTTGACTCTGTACTGGATGTTTCTCACTTTCACAATGCCTCACACCTCTACCATAGGGCATCCTTTCTCAGGGAATATAGATATCTTTTATTTGTAATTGAAATTATGAGCACTTTTTTTTTTTTTCAGTGAAACTTCTCTGTGAGCTTTGTTTCAACTGTATGATATTATCAATTCTCTATTTTGGGTTTCACTTACCACTTTTTTAATTTTCTGTTCAGAAAACTACAGGGGTTCCCTATTATCTTTTATATGATTCTAAACTCCTTCGCTGTATTTCAAGACCTTCTTTCCTCCCTTTTGCTTATTATCAAATGAGCTTCACCTTAGGTGAGCCTCTGCTCATTTTTTTTTTTTTAGACTTTTTTTTTTTTTTTTTAAGATTTATCTATTCATACAGAACTGGGGTATAGGCCAGAGGTGCAGGGACAGCGAGAGGCTTCGCCAAAGACAAAGTGGGGGAGCAGAACAGGCAGATTAATGGAGTACACTGCTGAGGGGAGCAGTGGGTGAGATAGGAGAGGTCTGTGCCACGTGAGTCACCTCTGGGGCGGCGATCGTACTTGCACTGAAGTGGCTGTGCTAGTTTGCAGTGCTGCTGTCCTAACCCATTGCACCACTAGGGAGGGCCCAAGCCATTGCTTATTAAAGTAAATAACAATATTTTCTCCATAACTGTCTTACTTAATGTTCCCAAACTTGACCAGTTTTTACTCCCAGGTCAGCCATGTTTACTTCAAAAAGAGCGTGTATGATACCTTTTAAATGCCATTATTGGGCCTCCGTGGTGGCGCAACAGGTTAAAGCACTGCACTATGAAGCTAGCTGCTGCTGTTTAACACGAGTTTGATCCCCTGCCAAGGAGGTGACCCATATGCACAGCAGACCTCTCCTGTCTCGCCCACTGCTCCCCTCAGCAGTGCAGTTTGCCAATCTGCCTGTTCTTCTCCCTATTCTGTCTTCTGGTGATTCTTCTCACCACCCTTTCACCTCTGGCCTGTATCCCAAATCTATATGCATAAATGAATAAATATTTTAAAAATTAAAATAAATGCCATTATTTTATGTGTCATATCTGGGTCTTTATACTGGTTGATATGTTACATTTAATGTGCCTGGCAACTTCTGATTGGATGTCAGATGTTGAGAACTTTGCATTGTTTAGTACTGGGTAGTCCTTTTTTTTTTTTAAGTTTTATTTAAAGATTATTTATGCTTACAGAACTGGGTTACAGGCCAGAGGTGTGGTGGGTGAGTGGATTCATTAGAGACAGAGTGAGGAGCAGAACAGGAAGATCTACTGAAATACACTGCTGAGGGGAGCAGCCGGCAGGTCAGGAGAGGTCTGCCCTGCCATGTGGGTCAGCACCCTGGTCAGGAATTGAAGTCGTGCTACAGTGGCTTTGGAGAGCTTCATAATGCAGTGCTTTAACCCATTGTGCCACCAGGGAGAGCCCACTGGGTATTTCTTTTAAGTGTTTTTCAGGTTTTTCTGGGATGTAGTTAGGTTATTTGGAAATCATTTAATCCTTCTAAGGCTTGCTTTTCTGTTTCGTTAGGTAGAATGTCAGCAGCCTTTAGTTCTAATTTCCCCACTGCTGAGACCATCCTTTTCTAAGTACTCAACCCAGTGTCCACTGTATTATGAAACTTGGGGGGGAAACATTTTTGGCAGTGTGAGCTGTTTCTAGCCATTGTAACTGAAGAATTTTTCTACTGGCTTCCTTGTGATTCTTTTCCTGTCTATAGATCATTTCTTATAAGCAGCTGAAGATAGAACTGGAAACCTACACAACCTAAAAGTCTGTCTCTTTCTGGAATTCTCTTCTCTGCTGCATCCTACCCTGAAAATTCTAGCTGGCTTGGCCTTTCCACCTATGAGCTCCTTCTCAACTCGGTGACACCGCCAGCTCTCTTCACATAATATTGTAACAGTGGTAGGCCTCATCTCATTTGTTTCCCTGTACTCTGGGATTATTGCTCTTTGCTGACAATTGTCCAGTGTCTAAAAATCATTTTGTCTATTTTTCCTAGTTCTTTTGATATGTAAGGCAGTAAGGTACTTCAGTCCCTATAAGCTTTTATAGATAGTAGTGAAATGCTTATGTGGAATTATATGAAATTAGCCTCTTCCTTTACTTATGTTAGCCCATCTACTCTTTCCTATCCTCAACTCAAGGGTAATTTGTATATTTTCACGTCCTTTCTAAGCATGCATTCATATATGAGCAAATATATATAGAGTGAGACTAGACTGATTTTATATAGTGAGACTGATTTTGGTTTTGTTTTCAGAAAAATGAGAATATATACAGCTTGTTTTTATAATGTATTGCTTTTCAGTCATGTGACATATTTGTGTGGCATTATCCAATATAAAAATTCTATTTCTTAAGAGTAGGAACTTTTGAGTTCCATTTCCACTTTTACACTAGTGATAACTTGCAAAATTTCCTATACACAGGGATTCTTAATAAATACTCATGGGTTAGAATCAGCAAGTCATCTTTTATCTATCTAGTCTTTATAAAATCTTTCTCCTTTAAGTTTTTTTATATAAGTGAGGCTACAGCATGGGAAGATCTCAGGGATAGTTTTTATACCCTAAAAAGATGTTTAGCTATTATTCCTGTTTCACTAATATAATAAAATGCAAATAATTGACTTCATCTTAACAGCTGAGGAAATACTAGAAGCTTACTATTTTGGAGATGATTTGTAACTTCAAAACAAAACTTGGAAAATAACCGATGTTAACATAGCCTTAGAAGTTTGTAATCTAATGTGACTGGAGTCTCTTGGGATGAAAGTAGCTATAATATTTGGAAATTACTTAACTGAGTTAAACACTTAATTTCTCTCACTTCAAATGATAAAAATTTTGATTTTAGGCAGTTACCTCTGGTTTAGGCAGTTACCTCAGTTACTACTGAGCTAATTTGACTTGAAGAAATGACAGTTGTATTTTCTGCTTTCTGGGACCCTGTACTTAAGTCAGATGACACAGTTTGAAGTCATTGTCATATTGTTGCCTGGCTGGCTGTTCAGTTCACTCACATTAGAGGAACTGCAGTTTTCTGGGTCCTGCCTATTTCATAGAGTTGTCCTGAAGGACATTTACATTAATAAAATAAAAATGCTTTGTAAATAATTAAGAACTATTCCAGTGTGAGATACTGTTTAGTTTGAGTAGTTGAATGTGTGACTTAAGATCTTATTTTAACCTAAAGTTCATTTATGTAGTGCAGTTATTGCTCTTCAGTTATGATCATTAAATTGGGCAGAAAACAGTATTTCATTGTCACTTTTAAGGTTCAGATGTAAACAAGGAATTAGAAAGGTTAATAGGGGAAACTGTCTTTTTATAGTGTATCCAGTAGGTGGAGGTATTTGTTATGTGTGTGTTGGTATCCGTTCATGAGTTCTGTTGATTAAAAGAAAAATTATAACAAGTATAGCAATAGAGCATTTTTCGTAACTCCTTAGGATCAGTTATGCTTTGCATTAAAAATAAAATCAATATATTTAAATTTTTATAGGGATAGTTTCTTATAATAACAAACTCACTGCACTTGAAAACCTCATCCCAAATTGCCAAATTATGGCAGTCTTATGACATTTACATGATTAAAAATCATTTTTGTTAACTTTTCATAAACTTTTATGAAGAATATACCATCTGTTTCTACAAGTTATGGTTAGCTTATTTTCTTTTTTTTTTTTTAAAGATTTATTTATTTGTGCATACAGAACTGAGGTACAGGCCAGAGGCTCAGGGATGGTGAGAGGCTTCACCAGAGACAGAGTGGGGAGCAGAATAGACAGATCAATGAAGTACATTGCTGAGGGAGCAGCAGGCGGGTCAGGAGAGGTCTGCCACGCCATGTGGTCACCTCCGGGGCAGGCGGGAATCGAACTCATGCGGAAGTGGCTTTAGCTTTTCAGTGCTGTGCTTTAACCCACTGCGCCACTAGGGAGGGCCGATTAGCTTATTTTCTTAGAAATTAAATCATCTTATCATACTTTGCAGATCTAATTTACATCCCAGATCAAAAAGCCAAAAACCTGTAGCAGTGGAGCAATTTAGGCCTAACCTCTGTTGATGTAAAGTACCAATTTTTTGTTGTTTTTTAAAGATATTTCAAGGAAACAAAGATTATCACCAGGATGTGCGTAATAACTTTTTGCCACCAATTATTGCACGTTTTATTAGAGTGAATCCTACTCAGTGGCAGCAGAAAATTGCCATGAAAATGGAACTACTTGGATGTCAGTTTATTCCTAAAGGTAAAGTTATAGTATGTTTAAGGCATGTTGTTTCGCCGAATTAACTAAGAATGACTTTGCTGTCCTCAGAGGAAGTAATAATAATGTGAATGTATTTTAGAATATTTTCCTAAAAGGGTACTTATAAAAGAAATAGTTGTGCTGTTAAGCTCAAAATTGAATTTATTTTCAAAATTACAAATTGGAAGAAGAGATAACATCATTATGAGCTAATGAGATTTTTTTTTCTGAATCTAGTCTCCATCTTAATAAACTTTTAGTTAGATCTCGTGTCGTGTATTTGTATTACATAAGCATTCAAGACTATAGAAGTATCCTTAGTCCACTTGCTTTTCACTCTGAATTAAAAGTAGGTATAATTTTCCTTAATTTGGTATATTTTAATATTCTATTGACTGTTGTATCTTCAAACTACCATAGTTCCTTACATGTAGGGGACCCTCCCTAAATATTTGTTAAATGAACTGAATAACTACTATGTCAAATTGTGATGACTTTAAAACTTAGGGTTCAGTGTCGTCCTCCTCCCTATTCTCCTTCCTAAGATTATTTTTAAAACAATTCAGCTTTTTAAAAACTGAGAAATCTCAGTAAATTTGTACATTTAACAGACTATGTGGCATATTTCTCAGATTTAAAATTACTGTGCAGAAATAAATTTTCTAGGAAATATTGAAAAAAATTAAAATTATACTTTTTTTAAAAAGATTTATTTATTTACTCATATAGAACTGGGGTACAGGCCAGAGATGCGGAGGGTGAGAGGATTCACTAGAGACAGAGCAGGGAGCAGAACAGGCAGATGACGGAGTACACTGCTGGGGGGAGCAGCTAGGGGGTTGGGAGAGGTCTGCCACACCATGTGGTCACCTCTGGGGCAGGTGGGAATGGAACTCAATGCGGAAGTGGCTTAAGCTGCTCATTGCTGTGCTTTATTTAACCTGCTGCGCCACAAGGGAGGGCCATATGCTTTTTTTTTTTTTTTAAGATTTATTTATGCATACCAAACTGGGGCACAGGCCAGAGGTTCAGGGGTGGTGAGAGGCTTCACCAGAGACAGTGGGGAGCAGAACAGGCCGACTGCCAAGTACACTGCTGAGGGGAGCAGTGGGCAAGTTAGGAGAGGTCTGCCTATCATCTGGGTCACCTCCGGGGCGGGATCAAATGCATGCTGAAGTGGCTTTAGCTTCTTAGTGCTGTGCTTTCACCCACTGTGCCACCAGGGAGGGCCCTAAAATTATTGCTTTTAATTTATTTTTACAAACAAAATGTATAAACTTTTCTAAACCATTTTTCAAGGTCGTCCTCCAAAATTCACTCAACCTCCACCTCCTCGGAACAGCAATGACCTCAAAAACACTACAGCCCCTCCAAAAATAGCCAAAGGTATGCTTGCTTTAAATGTGATACTGGATCTTCCCTGGATTTGTACTTCAGTTTTCCATAAATGTATACTAAAAACATTAAAATAACTATTTTAATCAAGTTGTTATAGATGAAAGATTAAAAGAGTTTCTAAAACTTTTTTCAAGGTCGTGCCCCAAAATTTACTCAGCCACTACAACCTCGCAGTAGCAATGAATTTCCTGCACAGACAGAACAAACAACTGCCACTCCTGATATCAGAAATACTACTGTAACTCCAAATGTAACCAAAGGTAGGCTAATCTAAGATTTGATAACTGAGTGTTTATTTATAGCTTACATTTTCAGAAGCATTTCCAGCTCTTAAACTCTGTTTTTCTTAACAGTACTTTCTAAACTTCATTGCTCTACCTTCTGCACAGACCTGGTCTTTAAATTCTTGTGTATATGTATGCTTCACTCTAAACCTCCTATTGTAATTTTTTGCCCATTACAGCTAAGATAATAGTATTTCTAGAAATAACTGAAATCCTAGTAGGAAATAAACTTATTTTCCCAATTGCATAGTAATTTGGTAGCTAGGAAATGTAGTAGCAAAAAGAGGAGAGGAAAAAAGGTTTGGTGAAAACTAGTACTTAAAAATAAATTCTGAAATAACACAGCCATAAAAAGCTTTTGTTCTTTGCTTCTAAAATGTTTGGTTATTTTTTCTTAATTCTAAATACAAATATTTCAGTATAATTTACTTTCAGTTTTTGTTATTAACAATAAGGTGTTAACATATGAAACACATTAGTTCTTTGATTTTACTAGCTATTGAAAAACAATTGCAGTTGAATTCAGGAAGGAAAAAACCTCAGTGTCAGAAAAATTCATTTCATTGTTGTCAGATTAAAAAATGAATACCATAAAAACACTTGTTTCCAGGGCAGTGTGGAGAAAAGGAAGCAATTCTTCATAGTATTTGTGCCCTATAGAAATTTAATCATTCTCCTTTTCTGAAAGTTTGTCTAGAGTCAGATAACTTTTCCATCTACAATGTTGATATCTTTCCCGTCTTCGAGGTATTTCCAAACCTACCAATTTCTTTCTTAATCTGCTGGGAAAAGAGCTAAGCAAGCGTTCTCAGGGACAGGTATCCCAAAGAGCTTCTGAGCAGTTGGCAGAGGCAGGTACTTGGCCAGCATCCTACACCATGTGCCTAGATGGAAAAGCAGTCATTTGAAAGAATTGTTTCTCTTAAAATCTGATAGAAAATACTAACATCTCATAACTGTTAGTGTTGTTAAAATGACTTCTTCCAAAACTATAGTCCTGTAAGCCTAAAATGGTAACAAAGAAAGTATAGGTCTTTTAAATTCAAGACCTCCTGTCTCCTTGTCTTTGGGATGGTGATATATACTCTTGATTATTTTTCAAAGCTAAGCTAATGTCTTCTTATGGTCTGTGGTCAAATCAAATCGCATCCATCTGAATCCGAAAAGGGCACATTCTGGATTTTAGTGCATTCTAACCTGAGTCATACTTCCTGCTCTGTGCACATCTCCCTTCTCAGCTGGTACACGCAGGCTGGGAGAGATGCTGGAGAGTCCAGCCCTGGCTAGGTCTGTGCCACCGTAACTTGCACGGCAGCCTTCGCGGCGCTCAGTGCATCAGCTGGGCTAGCGCTTCTGTCTCTGCTTACCAGCAGCTATTAATAAGCATTCCCTAAATTTCCAGAGTTCTTTTCCCACTTTTAAGTTAACCTCTTTCACTTCACAAGAAAGTAGCAGTCATTAGATGAAAACGCCCTTTTTGTGGAACCTATAAGCTTGCCTTTGTCTACTGCCCTGGACTGATCTCTTCCTCTGTGCCTAGAACCCATCCATCCTGCTTCTCAGAGGTCTCATGTCAGTGATGACCTGCTCCCTTTCCTGTATGGTCAGCATCTTCCTTTCTTTTGGATGCTGTAACTAAGATGCCATTTACCCACCAGTCACTTAGACCCCAATTAGTGTCAGCTGTTGCTGCATTTTCATCCTTATAGCCAGAAGGGAGTTGAGACGTAAAAGAATAAATAATATTCCAAATACATTAAACCATTTTCTGTATCTAGGCCCAGGATTCTTTATATGTGGAGTGAGATGAGGGGATTAAGCGATCTCCAGGTCCCTGTAGTCTCCAGATTTGTAAGGGTTTCTGCTCTGTTCATATACACATTTGTACCACATTGTAATCTTCCTGTAACTATAAATAACTACTATAGTTTATAGCTATAAATTATTATTAATTTATTATAATATGGTACAGTATAGCAAATTTATAATATCATATAAATTATTACTATAATTTATAGCTATAAATTATAGTAGATATTTACTATGAGAGATGCCATGAAATACTTACTTTCATTTGTCAGATATGTGTATTTCTGATTTTTCACTCTTACACAGGTACAGAGGCAAACCTCTCTGCGCACTGTGAATACTGGTGGTTACCAGCAAGGTGTGGGGAGGGAGGAGCATGAAGAGCGAGCTAGGAAATAGTGTGCAGACATTGGCGCTGCGGTAGCCAGCAAGAAGCACATGTGCATGCCTTGAGATGTTAAACTGTGTGCCCAGAGCTGTTTATTTGTGTCATTGAGTGGCTAGTCAATAAAATTTTGATTGGGAGAAAAGATGCATCTGGAATGGCTTAAGTTTTTGCTAAAATTTTAGGTAAGGAATTGCCATGTACTAGGTTTATAATATATAAACCTATATATAAACCAAAATGCTTATCAGTATCAATTCATATTCCCACAAGAATACCTGTTTCCTAATAATCTTCTTCAGTTGTTCTTTTAAATATTTGCCAGTTTCAATAGCAGAACTAGCATCATATTTTATTTCTGTATCTGAATAGTAGTAAAACATGTTTAGCAGTCACTTATTTTTTAACATTTCTTGTCATCTCCACTCTTTTCTATTGTTTTTTTTTTTACTTGTGAATCCTGTAACATTTTCATTATATTCCTCTGTAGCAGAAAATAAATATAACTCAGTTTATCATTTGTTTTGGTGATTTAGAACCTATTAAGAAAAAAACTTTACAAACATATGCAAAGAGCAAATGGTGTGAACAACTTCCATGTATCCACAAAAAGCTCTACAGTCACAGACTCAGGTTTAGTGTCAGCTCATAATGTTTATGTTGTTTTTTGAGATAGAAAAAGCTTGGATGACAATAGGCTGACCTTCCTGCATTCCTTCATGAGCCAACTCTGGGAGTAATGTACCTTTTCCCTTCATGAGCTGACTTTGGGAGTAATGCATCTTTTCTTTAACCTCAGATGTGGCCCTGGCCGCCGTCCTTGTCCCAGTGCTGGTCATGGTCCTCACAACGCTCATTCTTATACTAGTATGTGCGTGGCATTGGAGAAACAGGTAGGTCCACAGCTAGCTCACCTGATTGTTCCTAGAGAGGGTGTTTCCAGATGTAAATTAGAAACTAGACATGTAACATGAACTACAGTTCACGTTTTTGAGAGTAGAGGTACTGTCATTAGAATGTCAGTCCCCATGAAATACATGTTTTTACTTTGTTCTCATAAGAAAATGAGCCAGTTTAATTCCATAATTATCAAGGTCATTTACGTGTGTCAAGTTCTGCATTACACACTGAGATATACACATTAATAAAAAAGTATCTGACATGTAGAAGGTGCTTCGTAATACTTAATGAAAGAATGAGACACAGTTCCTATCTTCAAAGTGGCTTAAGCAGGATTAACAGACACAAACTCCTCAGGGACTATATAGAATGTGGTTTGATGAGTTTATGAAGTAGTAAAAAACCGTAAGAATTATCAGAAATCTTTTCTTTGGCAAACAGTGATTGGCAAGTTTGTTGTGTTTTGCCTTGAAGTTGCTAGGTTTAGTTAGACAAAGGTGGGTAGAGAATGAGGGAATTCTTTGGGTGCAGGCACAGAGATGTGAGATGTATAGGCACAGAGGATTGAGTTATCTCGCAGGATACTAGGTATGAAATCACAGAAATGTAGCCTGGACCTGGATCAGATAAGACTTTCTGGGAAAAGAACAATTCACTTTTCAGTCTGTAAATTAAATCAAATACAGAGAAATCACTGAGGAGTGTGTAGCAGAGAGGTGATAGTATCAGATGAGTGCAGAAAGATAGTGGCAGGAGTTTTGGAGGGTGGACTGAAAGGAAAAAGACTAGCAGAGGCAGCAAGATAAGCCAGACAAGAACATAACACAGCAGTTGTAGGACAAGGAGAATAGAGAAGAGATTTCCTAAAGGTACACAACTGGCTGCCTGCTAAGGAATAGAGAGGGGTCCAGGATGACCAGAAGTTCTGGTTTGTGAAGCTGGATCAGTGGCGATCCTGAGTTGAGATAACAAAAGAGAAGGGACAGGTTTGTTGGAGGAAGAGAATGACTTTATTTGTTCATCTAAATATTTGAGTCATGTGCTGGGAGTCCAGTGGGAAACTCCAAAATTTGCAGAAGAGGACACAGTATAGAAAGTATCTGCCATGTACTGACCATGCAGTAGGTGCTTTGGGAGGGCTGGAGGAGCATGTGGATCCCAGATTCATGGTGTTGGAGTAGCTGAGCAAAGACCTATGAAATCAGGATGTGGGCTGTAGGGAAAGGACAGTCCAGGAAAGAGAGTCCATGATGTTTTCATGCCACTGGGTGACAAGAACAAGAACAGCAATGCTGCTGTCTTCTGAGTGCTTTGACATGTTTATACTTAGTCTTCAGAACAACCTATGAAGCAGGTACTGTTTGAAAATTTTTGATTAATAACTTCACCTACCCTCTCTTCACAAATTTTACATAGTACTTTACTTTTGAAACCATACAGTGTATTTTAAATACAATTAGACTTCAAAATGAGAACACTTTTGATATCAAGAATGAAAACAGCATTATACTAGAGAAGACTGTTTATATATTGGTGAAATACATAACTTTTTTTAGCAAGCTACATTTGGGATCTTAAGGAAATCACGTAACTGTTTGCCCTCATATTTATCCTAGAATAATTTCTGCTTTCTCTTGAGTTTTAAAATCATTTATTTTAATGGGCTTATATTCTTAAATCAAAAACTCCTTTTATCTGCTTTCCTCTTTGTAAAAACTGCGTAATGAAGAGTAATTCTTAACGGAGGGAAGGGAGATTTCTCCTGGGGAAGGACAGTTCAGAATTGTAAAGAGTGGCTTGGAGAAACCTTCTTGCACACATGGCTCATAGCTCCCATGCCTAGAGAACCCTGTTCTCCCTCCACCACTTGTCACTGTTAGTGACAGCTTTCACCTATAATGTGTAACTTCTCTAGGGGAAAAGGATGACTACAGAAGACAATGTGACTGTTAACAGTTTTGTGAAACTAATTTTATTACAAACCAAAACGACTGACCACTAAAACACGATTGCTCCATAATGACCCACGTCGGGGCTGGGTCTTTGATTTGACTGGGAAATAATTGGGTAGCAAAATTTCTAAGATTTCAGGAGACAGTTTAACTTTATGTGTAGCTTTATGTTTGGCATTACATTTAGAATTAATGAGCCTCAGCAGTGGCAACTATTAATGTCAAGTGAAACAAGACGCCAATGGGTTGTAGGGGTCTACATGTGGAAATATGTACTCTTGACTAATTATTAACTCCAGTGTTTATCCTACAGTTTCAAAGCTGTCATATCAGTGAATTCATTCTGTTCTATGCTAACTTTTTTCTCTTGTATCTTTCCAGAAAGAAAAAGACTGAAGGCACCTATGATTTACCTTACTGGGACAGGGCAGGTAACTAACTTTACATCTCTTTCCATTAGAGGGAAGTTTTTGCCCTTCAAGTAACAATAGTGAGAAAGGAAAGTCGTTCTTAGTACTGTTAGAAAAATAGTATTATTCTTCTGCAAACTCTCTTCTAGTCATTAAGTAAAGAAGTGGAAAGTAAGAATTTCTTACAACACATGCTTGTTAATTTTTTCTTCCTGGCAAACTTGCCCAGCGTGTCCCATTTTTCTGCTTTTCTTGAAACCAGTTTTCCTCATAGTGTTTAAAAACATTGTGTAAGAAGCACAAGACTGAGGTCCTGGCAACACAGAGTTATTACCATGAATATTTAGCAAGTGGGTCCAGTAACTGTGTGGCAGCTTGCTGCAGGTGATATCAGAGGTCCCTACAGGTCTCCCTTTTCCTAGAATAGCTACTAGAACAACTGTTAGGAGCCAGAAGGGATCACTGCTGAGACAACGGCAGGAAAGAGCAGTGGCTGGGGCCCATCACATGCTTCCATCACTCCAGGCTGGATCTTATAAAGTACTTTTTAAGAAAAATTTATTGAAAACCATCCATCCAGTAGACAGACTATGTCCGTAATAGCAGTGACTTACTCTGTATGTGCTTTTGGCAAAGATTTCTACCCTGTTCTGCTTTGTACCAGATAGTCTATCAAACAAAAAATAAGTTTGAACAACTCAAAGGAGTAAAAAAAAGGACAAATTATAACCAAAGCTACCAGAAGAGAGGAAATAGTAAATATTAAAGATAAAATGGAAAATAAGAATAGAGAAAGTCAGTGAAACTAGAAGACCAGAGTTCATTCCTAAAAGAGATCACCAAAGGCCCTCTCTGGTGGCGCAGCAGGATAAAGCACAGCACTGAGAAGCTAAAGCCACTTCCGCATGAGTTCGATTCCGCCTGCCCCGGAGGTGACCACATGGCATGGCAGATCTTTCCTGACCTGCCTCTGCTCCCCTTAGCAATGTACTTTGTCGATCTGCCTGTTCTGCTCCCCACTCTGTCTCTGGTGAAGCCTCTCGCTGCCCCTGAGCCTCTGGCCTGTACCCCAGTTCTGTATGAATAAATAAAGCTTTAAAAAAAAAAATCACCAAATACCTAAATCCATTAGCTAGATAAACTAAGAAAAAATGGGAAATGACTCAAACCATTAAAATCAGAAATGAAAATGGGTATGTAACTTTCTTTGCTACAGAAATAAAGGATTATGAGAATATAGTAAGCAATTTTACAACAAAAAAATTAGATAACCTAGACCATAGATCAATCCTAGAAACACAAAACCTACCAAGACAAAATCACGAAGAAAATCTGACTAGACCTGTAAATAGTAAAGAGTCTGAGTCAGCAGTTTAAAATCTTCTTCCAACAAAATAAATTCCTGGACCTCTGATAGATTCACTAATAAATTCTACCAAACTCTCAAAGAGCTAAACCTAAAAGATTTCACCCCCCCAAAAAAAAAAATTGTTGTAACTCATAAATGAATTCAGCAGAATAGCAAGATAGTCAACATTCAAGCAGTTGTACATGAACAATCTTAAAGTTGCCCCAAAAAATCCACTTATGGCAGCAATGACACACAAAGTGCTTAGGGAACTAACCACGGAGATGAATGTCTTGTACAGTGAAAACCACAAAACATTGCTGAAAGTGATTCAAGAAGATATAAGTGAATGGCAGAACTACATCCCACATTCATGGATTTTGAAGACTTAATAGTTTAGATAACAGTACTATCCAACATGATCTATAGATGTAATGCAGCCCCTTCAGAAAATTCCAGTGACCTTTTTCTGCATAAACAGAAAAGGTCATCCTAAAATTCATGTGAAATATCAGAAAACCCCAAGTAGCAAACAGACCTGAGAAAGAAAACTGTAGTATTGTTATGACAACCAACATATACACTAGTGGAATAGAATAAAGAACATAGAAATAAAGCCTTACAGATACAGACAAAAGGCTTTTGACAAGGCTGCCAAGATCAGTGGAAAGGATACTGGTTCAACTAGTGACGCTGAGAAGCCTTAATCTTTATATGCAGAAGAATGAAGATGAACCCTTACTCGTATCATACAAAAATTTAAAACTGATGAAAGACCAAAAATGTGAAACCCAAGACAATAAAACTCTTGATACTGGATTTGGCAGTGATCTGTGGGCCATGACACCAAACACACACACACACACACACACACACACACACACAAATAAATAAATTGGATTTCATGAATTTCTTTTTTTTTTTTTTAAGTTTCAGATGCTCCCTACAAAATGGGAGAAATTATTTGCCAATCATGAATATATAAGGGATTAATGTCTAGAATGTGTAGAGGACGTCTAAAACACAACCAAAAAAGCAATCTGATTCAAAAATAGACAAAAGACTTTAATAGACAACTATCCAAAAACATACTTGTCCAATAAGCATGCAAAAACAATGTTCAAGGTATGAATCTTTAGAGGAAACACAAATCAAAACCACGAGATAATCTCCACTTCCAATTCAAAAATTTGGTGAGGATGTGGAAAAGTTGGATTGGAACCCTTGTGTACTTTTGGTGGGAATTTAAAGTAGTATAGCTATGGTAGAAAACAGTATTTCCTCATAAAAAGAAAATTACCTTATGATCTAGCCTTTCCATTTCTTAGATCTATAGCCAAAATAACTAAAAGTATGTCAAAGAGATAGTTCGTATTTATAGCATTATTCACAATAGTTAAATCATTGAAGCAATCCACATGGTTCATCAGCTGATGAGAGGATAAGCAAAATGTGGTATATTCATTTAATGGAATATCATTCAGCTTTTAAAAAGGAAAATCAGTATGCTACAAGGATGACCCTTGACATTATGCTAAGTGAAATAAGTCACCCAAATAACAATGTTTACTATGTGAATCCAGTTATATGCGGTACTTAGAATGGTCAAAATCATTGATACAAGATAAAATGGTGGTTGCCAGGGTTTGGGGGTGAGTTTTGTTGAGTAATAGATAATGGAGTTTCAGTTTTACAAGATGAAAAGAGTTGTGGGGATGGATAGCAATGATAGTTGCATAACAGTGTGAATGTCCTTAATACCACTGAGCTGTACAGTTAGTGGTTAGGTGGACACATTTTCTTATTTTACTAAAATATGTGTAGTAAATAAATAACAAAAAAAAAAACTTAAGCATAAAGTCTAGTTTATATAGATACTTGTTACAAAAATGACTTGAAAACCACAGAATTTCTCCCTCAATATGCTGTTTTAATACAGACATTAGTTTGTATTCATTGCTATCTTTTGCTTACAATCACAATGAAGGTTGGTGGAAAGGAATGAAGCAGTTTCTCCCTGCCAAATCGGTGGAACATGAGGAAACTCCAGTTCGCTACAGCAGTAGCGAGGTTAATCACTTGAGCCCAAGAGAAGTCACCACAATGCTGCAAACAGACTCTGCAGGTAATGATATGGCAGCCTTCGCACGCAGAGGAAGAAGCTGCTGTGCTTACGGCAAATGGCCCTGGGATTTACAATATCTTTTATCCTTTTCATGCATAAGAGAAGAGCTGTTTTTCCAAAAATAGGACTTTTTATTTATATGTCATCTTAAAGATTTATTTCTGCATAGAAGAACTGGGATGGAGGCCAGAGATACGGAGGTATGTATTGAGAGGATTCATCACAGACAGAGTTGCAGCTTTACTGAAAAGGCAGATCTACTGAAATACACTGCTGAGGGGAGCAGAGGGCGAGACAGGAGGGGTCTGCTGCACCATGTGGTCACCTCTCTGACCGGGGATCAAACTCAGGCCATGATAGTGAGAGCTCTGAGACCTCACTCCTTGCCACCAGGGAGTACCCTAGAAGGACTTTAAAAATATGACCTTGAGGCCCTCCCTGGTGGCGCAGCGGGTTAAAGCACAGCACTGAGAATCTGAAGCCACTTCGGCATGAGTTCGATTCCCGCCTGCCCCGGAGGTGACCACATGGCGTGGCAGACCTCTCCTGACCCGCCCGCTGCTCCCCTCAGCAGTGTACTTCGTCGATCTGCCTGTTCTGCTCCCCACTCTGTCTCTGGTGAAGCCTCTCGCCGCCCCTGAGCCTCTGGCCTGTACCCCAGTTCTGTATGCACAGGTGAATAAATCTTTTTAAAAAAAAAAATGACCTTGAGAGTGATTCTTGGGTCTTCTGTTGAAAATTGGGGCATTAATTTCTGAAAACTCTGGGCATATTGTGTGTTTACCTGGGTTTGTTTTGGTTTTATTGAGGCTATCAAGGTATTCAAAGGAGAGTAGGGAAACTATGGCAAGCCTTACAATATTTATAAAATTAATCAAATACATATTTATTTTAAACATTTTGTAATATTGGGAAAGGGGGAAAAATCACATTTTTCAAATCTGATATAGCAATCATGGAATATTTCTTCCCTTGTAAAATACTGTATACATGTAAAGAACTCTGTTCTTGCAAAATTACATGGGTGAGGCCATAAAGAAGCGTCTGCTTTGGTGTGAACCTTCACCTACCACCCCTCAATTGATTCCTGTATAAGTGTGATAACTTTCTTGTTTTATGGTATCCATAGAATATGCACAGCCACTTGTGGGAGGAATCGTTGGCACACTCCATCCAAGATCTACCTTTAAACCAGAAGAAGGAAAAGAGGTGGGCTACGCTGACCTAGATCCTTACAACTCTCCAGTGCAAGATGTTTATCATGCCTACGCTGAGCCACTCCCAGTTACTGGGCCAGAATATGCAACCCCAATCGTCATGGATATATCAGGGCACCCCACAGCTTCAGTTGGTCTGCCTTCAACGTCCACTTTCAAAGGTACAGGAAACCAGCCTCCCTCTTTGGTGGGAACATACAACGCTCTTATCGCCAGGACTGACAGCTGTTCCTCAGCCCAGGCCCAGTACGATACCCCAAAAGGTGGGAAGCAGGGTCCAAGTGCCCCCGAGGAGATGGTGTATCAGGTGCCACAGAGCACGCAGGAGGTAGCAGCAGCAGGGAGGGATGGTGAATGTGATGTTTTCAAAGAAATCCTTTGAGGGTGATGCTGCTTTTTACAAAGCATTTTAAAGCACATGGCCTTGGCTTTTTTTGTGTGTGTGCTAGTGGTAGTAATATATAGACTGTATTTCGTATCTGTCACAGCTGTGGTTGGAGGAAATGTGGTTACCGGGGTACAGGAAACTACTAATCTTGCCATCTTGCTCTTAAAAGTGTTGTGTGGCAGTTACTGCTTGCCTATTGCATTTTGAACATCCTGTTGTTACTACTGTAAGACGCTATTTTTAATACAGAAAAGGTTTCTTACTATGCACTTCAAAGAAATTAAATCACTGAAAGTATTTATTACCAATGCTGCAGATACATTAATGAACTCGAGAGGGCTCTGTAAGCCTAATTGGCAATAATGCATGGTACTGTTCTAGAATGTCTAATGGCTTGAAATCTTGCTCTTTGTGAAAGGTAGGTACTACCATGGTTTCCTGCTCTTCTGTATTTTCTAGAATTTTAAAAAAATTAATGATAGAATCATTTTTTGTTTGTAGTCATACACAATTGTCTTTTACTTAGGAAGATCTATAGCTGCGAAACTGACTTGTAGTGAGCAGGGCAATTGCTTCTTTTCACTTTCAACACTCTCAAGAGCTTTTAACACTTCATGGTACATGGCTTGGTCTCATGGCTGCTTATTCCTCCTGGGGCCCTTTGGTGGCCAGCCCCATTCTTAAGTTCATAATGCTTGCTTAATTGAGTTCTTGAATTCAGATCCTGTCTTTAAGTGGATACTTCTCTGTGGGAACAGGAGTAACTTTACAGTTTAAAGTTAAGAGAGGAAATTTTGTCTCTGTCCCTTGCACCCAACTGTATTTGCTATGGGAATTTGTTTAGGAAAATGGTTAAAGCTTGAGGACTTTTAAGTGAACCCTATAAAAACGTATGACAGTGAAAGGCAAAATCATTCTGCTGAGAAGTAACCAGATTTGTCCTCTTTGAATCTCAAGCTGATTGTTAACTAGAATTTTAAAATTTGCTTTCATGGTCAACTATTCTAAGAAATATAAACTCAGATGTATTATTCAGCTCTGCATTCTAGCAAGTGACTATCCAGGTCTTATTTCTGATACCTCTGGGCAACTTCTTTGTCCCCACTTATCTAGAAGTTGTCTTCAATTTCTTTGTGTAGTGTAAAAAACACCTTTTTAGACTGTCAAAGTGACTTACCTTCTTCTGTAAATATTAGTTTGTAGACTTAATATTAGATGTGTTTTCTCATCAGGGCCTAGTCATTTATTTTGGCCTGCCCCCAAATTATGTCAAAAGTCACTATATTGAACAGTGTTCATTTTGCTCGTTTCCAAGAATATCAGCCATCGGAAACAGAACTATTGATCTCCGCAGACTCTGCTTTCTAGTTGCATGATGGCTGTTAAAGGTTTTATTTTCGTTTCCAATTTTTCTTGTTCAAAGTAACATTTGTTTCAAAGTATTTGAAACAAAGCACAGATACTGAACTTTATAAAATATGAATGTGTAAAAAGCACATGTAACAATGCAGTCATCCCCTTTCAGGTGGGAAAAGTAAACCAATTGCTTTATTTTTTTATTCATCTTTAGTACAGAGAATATACTTTTCTTCAAATCATATGCTTGTTTGAAGCTTTAAGAGAAACATTTCCAGTAACTATTTCATTTTCCCAAAGATGCTTGCTATTTTTATGTAATTGTGTGCACCTGATTTTTTCCCCCATGGAACTTAGAGGCAAATGTTTTCTTTAAATGATGCGTACTTTAAGACTTGATTCATAGTGCCACTCTGCTGATAAACTACCAATGATTTTTACACAAGTTTTTACTACTTTTATATATCTTACTTTCCAAATGAAGAGCTGAGCCTGATACAAAGGTTTGTTTGGTTTTGTACTTTTGAGTTTGTTTTCATAGTAATGAAGAATTGTTTTTGTTGTTTTTCTACTTTTTATGTCCTGTGTGTGTGTGTGTGTGTATATATATATATATATAAATAGCTTTGGAGACAATCAAGTAACAACTGTGAAAGTAACCATAAAAAATTCTTAATTTTAAATCTTTTAGGTGTTTCAAGAATTAAGTCACTGTGTTATATTGGATTTCTTTTCCAATACAATTATAAAAATAGAATCAGTGGTGCAGCAAATGTGGCCATTATCAGTTTCATAAAATTACACTAACTTCGCTGTTACTTGATCTTAGGAAACCAGCACAATTAAAGATTGTGAATGTTGATTTATATTTTATTAACTATAAATCTAAATAGATCCTATTATATGTTCAGGATCTAGTCCAGTTATTTAAGTTCATGTTTCACTATTTGCACTTTGCATTGAACAATGGGTTTATTCACTGATGAAATAGTTCAATAGAGAATTTTTTATACAGTCATCGAAATTGACATTATGCATATACTTGCCCTTCCTCCCCCGGGGGAAGCAGAAAATGAGCTCATCTAAACGTGACATAATTCTATGGAAAGTGATAATGGTTGAACTTCTCTGCCTTGGCTCCACATTGTTACCTGGAGAGCAAAAGCAATATGGAAACACCATGTCAGATAATAAAATTAGAACTGAGTAGGTGGGATAGACAGAGCTTTTGAAACCATGAATCTCTACCTAAAATAAATTACCTTGTCCCTACCTCTCAATTTGAACTTGAAGTCCCTAAACTGCAAAACCTAAATCAGAGTTGTGTGCTTATTTATATACTTTTTAGGTCAACTGTGGCACCAACTCTTATTTAATTCAACTTGTGATTAGTTTCTTCTTCATCTCTTTTTTTTGGGGGGTTGGGGGGGAACAGAGGGGAAGAAGGATGCTGGGAAAGGTAGGGGGAAAAAAAAGTTTGAAATGCATATTAGAAATAAAAGTGGCTTGAGTGTCAGTGATATTCTCCCAGAATGTACTTTTCTTACCTCGGCATGTACTGTAGTCACTCAGTGTTTGTATATGTTGCTAGAATTTAGACTGTATAAATAGATTTTAATGTGTTCATGTTTTTAATAAATTGTATAGTATGTGTCTTGCTCTGAGGTTTGTAGCCTTTTCTCATTACAGAAATGCTAGATTCAATGTTAATACTCAGATACCATGCCCAGTAACACTTGAAATTCCTTTCTTTACTAAGTCCAAATTACTTTATATCAACTACACTTCATCGTAGAGCTGTGTGGTATGCAAACTCTACATGTGGAGTCCACTTGACTTTTGTACCTCAAGATTAGAAGAATCAAAGGAAATGGAGGTGAAAGGTAAGTACTAGACTGGTGTCCACATGTGGCCATATGCAGCTATGTCTAACATAGTCCATAATTAACATCTGCAAACACAGCTGTTTTCTCCCTTATTCGGCTTTTAATTTCATTGATTCCTTGTTTCTGAATCTGATCTAATTAATATTCACACTGTATACACCTCTTTAGAGGGTTCAGTTATCAGTAACACCTTAAAGTATTGCACACTACTAACTGTTGTTCAAAAGAACAACTCAACTCATACCTCTTTGAGCAATTTTAATTCCATCTGTTTAATAACTTCTGCTCTTCATCTTTCTTTCCACCCTTTTTCACCCCTCTGTCAATAACTTTTGGTCACATTCATTAAAATAAGAAAGATGAGCTCACCACATTTGCATCCCACGGGATTCTTTTCTTGTGCACCCACGTAGGTAAATTTTCCATTTGAAGATGAAATTTAATCATGTGGACAATTGAGTTTTTCATGAGTATATAATTTAAATCCAAAAAATAGCTTGGCTCTTCTTAAGGATTTACTTACTTTATCATCTTCATCTTTCCTAATTTAGTGAATAAATTAAACCAGGCAAAAAATGTTTAAGAATTTTTCCCTTTAAGCTTGCCTAGCTATATTTCTTTAAAATAGTCACCAGACTTTAGTAATTGCATTCTTTGGTAGAATGAAGATACCTAATCATGGTTACTTAATTGCAGTGGGGACCGGGGAGCCAATTTCTGTAACATTCCTCAGAAGAAACAGGAACTACTAGTCAGTCATTCCTTTACCATTATCAAGGCCCAAGCCCAAGCAATTTACAGTAGTCAGGTACACTTCAAAATGTCATGTTATACTTACAACTTGTGCTAAATTCACTTGCTTACTATAAAAAGATATTTAAAACACCTCAGAAAACTATTTTTAAAAAAAATGCAATCAGAACTTAGTCCCTGATATTTTAACTAAATATATTTTGGTTTTCATAAATATATTCACAGAAATTAAGCTGGTGGTTATGAATCACCAGGCAACAAACAATACATAATTTTCTGATGAGTGCAGCCAACATTTTAAACTAAAACTTGCAGTATAAAAATAAAACTAATACTGTTAGCATTAGCATCCTCTTCTGATTCTGTAGGGTCAGTCTTGAGTCAAGTCGATTACGAAGTTTTTTTCTATAATGTCCTTCAAAAATAGCTGCTCTGCAGTCACATTGTGATATGCACTCTAAGGAAGAAAAGTTTTAAAAAAATATTATTATATGAATAAACTCCAGTAGCAGGTTACTTGTAAGGAAACTGTTAGACATAGGCAGCTTTCTGGGGTGAAAGAAATATCTAGATACATGTTATGTGTACATTTATTGAGCCAAATACTTAGGATTGTGCATTTACTATGTATGTTGCTGTTCTATAAGACAAAGTGTTTAATCTAGAAATCAATTTTTTTACATTTGTAAACTTCCTTCAGCTTATGTAGTATCTGGGGATAGTGACAGATTTTATAAGATATATAAAGTATGTACACACATACTTTAAAATTTATATTTCAGTATCAAAAAACATAACATTTAATCCTTTCATTTTGATGCTCCGGTAATCTGAATTAGGAAAATAGAATACTCTTTCCCATCTAGTCATTTAAAAACCTTTAAGGAACAAATCTAAATAATCCCTATACAAGATGAATGTGAAAATTCTTTACTGGCGTAAAATGTTAGACTTTACCATCTACATAACAAAAAAAACCAGAATATTCACTGACCATAATCATGTTTTTATGTAAGTTTGTTATCTTAAGTGGCAGTTTGTCTATATTTTAATAGCACAAGTAAGCTGCAGTATCTAAGATTGGGCTTGATGGTACTTGACAATAAAAACTATTCCCAAAAATTGGGAATTGCTTGTAGTTAAAATCTCTGGACTTGAGTCCTAGTTTCAACACTTGGTTGGTCTGAAATCCCAGCCCCTCAAAACCTGTTCTCTCAGAAAAATGACAGGATGAGAAGAGAATATAGGCATTCCGTCCAAGATTATACAAAAATGTGTATTACCTTGTTCATCAAAGACATGGTGGCATTCCCATAGTAGTGCAAAGGACTCTGGAGATCAGAAAAGTTGTATCTAAAACCAGCAAGGTGAACTTCGTGACATATGTGAAATGCCAGTGTGATGGCAATAATTCCTGTCGTTGGGTGTTTGGGTTTCTGGGAGGGTAAACAAAAATTTTTAAAAATCCAAACTAGATACTTGTTTACAAAACAGACTTGTTTGGCCAAATCTTATTTTAAAGATTCTGATGAGAACATTTAACTAGGAAAGAAATACTTAACTAAATGCTCATTATGTCCTAATGTTCAAAACCCAGATAATAATCTAAAAAGAATATAAGGTATGACTCAAACCTTAATCTTTCAAATAAAACAGCTGTAGTATCAGCCCAGAGAACAACTCTCCAATGAAGGAATACCATAAGGCTCAACGAAAAGGATACTGCTGCCTGGGTTTTAAAAGTAGATCTACCATATAACCCAGCAATTCCAATTCCTAGGTATCTATCAAAAAAAAAAAAAAAACTAATATGAAAGGAAGTCTGTACACCTGCACCTATGTGGATAGCAGTACTGTTTACATGAGCCAAGAAATGGAAACAAACTGACCCAGAACAGATGAGAGGGTCAAGAAGTTGTGGTGTGTATGTGTGTGTATATACATATATCCACAGTGGAATACTACTCAGCAATCAAAAGATAAGCCATGCCATTTGTGGCAATGTGGATGGAATAGGAAGGAATTACTCTAAAGGAAGTAAGCTAGGAGGAGAAAGATAAATACCAATGATTGCACTTACATGTGGGGTATAGTGAAGACATACTTTTAAGACCAACCTTGAAAGGTGACCATAGATCTGAGGCATCCAGGAAAGGTGGGAAAGGGGAGGAGAGTACAGTGGACCACACTTAGTTGCTTAGGTGGTAGGAAATGGTCTCAGCACTTAAGGGAAGAAATGCTTATTGTGATAGAAAAAAGGATATAAGGAAAACACATGCTGAGTCAAACACCCTGTGAAAAAAGCCTGAGGATTTTGCACCTGTGTATTTATAAATGGATAGAATCTTTGGAGAGTTAGCCTTAAAATATTTCATAACATTCTAATTATAAATTTAGCTCTAGGGAAGAGTGTTTTGATGACAAATTTTAATAGTATCAGACTGAAAATAAAAATTTCAGATATAGATACAGTTTAGTTACATTATTTTAAAATATCACCAACATTGAATCCAACCAACCCTTTTATATATATACATATATATATATACCCTGAAAAATGCTATAATCGGTTAGGATTTACAGAAACAAAATATATCTTAAACTTAGCAATTCAAGGATATTTCCTTTAGCAGTGTTTCTAGCAGACTATAGAAATTACATAGAATGACGTGAGGGAAAAAATTTTTAAAGCATAGTAAAATTAAACTTCATGGACAAAGCTTTTCCTTACCCAGAGTAGAGCTGTGACCCTACCACAAGCCCTTACCATCTTATGGAAAAGGAAGTTAGTGATTGGTTTAACAATCTTGGAGTCATCCAGCCTCATTGATTAGGTCACCCTTTCCATCACTGTCCCATTTCACATCTTCTACATCCTGTCTTTCCAACTTGAAACACTCTCACCAAGGTTGTAATTATTCTCTTACATAAACCTTCAGTTCTGTACCCTTCACTCACAGAACCTCTATTAACAGACTTATTCCTGGTTAAACCCTCACCCAGCAGCAAAACAGAGCAAGAGAAAACACTTATCTGCCTGGTCATGCATTGTATTTATGATTTAAGTCTCAAGTATCCAGTATATCTACCAATCCAATTACATTCCCTAAGTAAACTTCCATTCCTACTCTTCAGGTTAACAACTTTACACCTTTCTATCCTCCAATACCCCTCTACTCCTTCCTACTTTGGCATTCTGGTTTCTCTGAAAAATGACTGTCAATCAACTCCAATCTCCAGTCCATTGTCATCTCTTGACCCATATTTTCAGCGAGATGTCCTTGTTCTTACCTGTCGTCAACCTCATAATATACTGTATTTATCCAATCTTACCTCAGTAACATTGCTTCTGCTATTATCCACCTTCCCCCCTCATCAAGATTTGCCTCTTTTGAGTCATGCTTCCCGCCTACAAATACAGCATCTGGCTTTTAAAAACAACTTTCTGGCCCTCCCTGGTGGCGCAGCGGGTTAAAGCACAGCATCGAGAATCTAAAGCCACTTCCGCTTGAGTTCGATTCCCGCCTGCGCCGGAGGTGACCACATGGCGTGGCAGACCTCTCCTGACCCACCCGCTGCTCCCCTCAGCAGTCTATTTCGGCGATCTGCCTGTTCTGCTCCCCACTCTGTCTCTGGTGAATCCTATCACCCTCCACATCTCTGGCCTGTACCCTAACTCTGTATGAATAAAAAAAAATAATAAATCTTTAAAAACAACTTTCTTATCCTATGGCCTCTTCAAATTATTACTCCACTAACTTGGACTTTTTCTAGCAAAAAATAAAAAATTTGAGATTTGTCTCTACTTGCTCATTTTCTATATTATCTCTCACCTAATTCGAGCAAGCTCTCTTCCTTTCTACCCTTATCACCAATGTGACCTCCCTATTACCAGAACCAGGGGTAATTATTTGTGTTTACTCTCAGAACAGCAGGGCTTTAATCTACTGACATGTTCTAGCATCTCTAAGGATAATCAGGGTGTTTGTGTGTTTGGATTTAGAGATGCTACACCTAAAACAAAAAGCAAGGGATAAATCTGGTCATGTTTCAACTAAGAAAATGATGAAAAATCACAAAGCATACATTTAAGAAGTTGTCCTCAAATTTACTAAGAAATAGTTTAAATTTAAAAGTTATGCTTTGATTTGGAAATTTCACTTCCATGAGTCTGCCCTGTGGAAATCACTCAAGTGTGTAGAGACACCCCTGTGCATCGCTACATTTGTGCTGGGAGGTAGTAGAGGAAGCCCTGGGAAAAAGCAAGGTTGATAAAAACCTAAAAGCCTATCAATAGGAAAAGAATTTTAAAAGGGAGAAAATTAGAGCAATCATATAGTCAAAATTCTATTGAGCAGTGAAGTCTCATGTTTGTGTTTGCAAATGCACAGAAAATAGTCCAGCAAATAAAATGCAAACGTGGGAGGCACGCTCCAGAGGATTCTTCTTCCCTTTGTCTCCTGTGTCAATGGCTTGATCTTAAGCATACAGTACTTTCTTATCACAATTTTTATCATAAAAAAAAAACACGATGTATGTTTCTTTGGACTTCCTCTACTTTACGAATATGGAAAACCTCATTTCATTTGCGCTCTCATGTTCTGCAGTTACTCAAGCTTCAAATGAAAGACACATACCAGAAAACAGTATGTCCTGAGTAGTATGGACAAACAGGCAATGGGTTTTAATCAAAGAATTTAGTTTCAAGAAAGCTCAACATTACTATAATGGCCATCTTGATCAAGTCATTACATTACCAAGGTCTCTCCATGACTGCAGGAATATTTCTGGACTACCTTAGTATTGTCCTTCTCACCTTTCTTCTGGCATTCCTTTGATACTTTTATCACAGAGTGGTTCGGAAAGATCACACACATGTCCTGAGCCAGCCCTGCTCCCCTGAGTGCAGACTGCCTGTTGACCATCCTCTTCCCCAATCAAGCACATCTTACCTCAGTCCACTGAGGATGAGGCTGAGAGTTGAGCCACTGGGCATGCAGGAAGAGACCCCAGAAGGGTCCATGTAGAGGGTTCTTTTTATTTCTTGCAACTTGAGAAACAAATTTAGTATCCACAGATATTTCACTCACTCAGACTTGGCCCTCAGAGTCCACCTCACAAGGCAAAGTCCTCTGGCAATCTAAGAGCCCTAGGGCCTATCAGCTGACCCCGGCAATCTTTAGTGTAAAAATGTACAAATAAAAGTACATACCTGATTTTTGGGAAACACTTTTGGGAAATGAAGCAGTTCATAAGCTGCCATTCTGATAATGAAAGGATCCAATATTCTGATTTGATAAGGTTTATATATCAGATTCAAGGCTGGCTTCTTCCAAAAACCGTTAGTGTTCTGAAATAAAGTAAGAGTACAGAAAGTACAACATTGTGTTTATCTTTATTTAAGGGGAAATAGAAAGTAATATGAAGGTAGATCAATTTTATCAACTTACTATTTTGCCACCTGTCAGCAATTCCCACAGCCACTTTAAATCAAGTGGCTTAAATGCAGTGAGAATCACTGTAGTATTAGGATCATTGTGACTGAAATCTGAAAAAACAGATTCTGGATAAAAAAGTCGGAAGGTTGTCCTTCTCCCAACATCCTCTTCATGTCCTATAACAGGACCATTATTCATCCTGTGGGTGGTAAAACACAAGATTTGTAGATAAGTATGGCCAGGCCTCCTCCACCCCAGTTCGCAGAGGTTTCATAGTTGGGCCAGCGTCATCAGCCACATAGTCAGCAAGCCACAGCAAGCAAGCAAGCAAGCAGTCTTTCACGCTAATGGCCAAGGAGAGATTTCCCTTTCACGTGGTGGCTGCTTGATCTAAGGCAGAAATGTGCCTTCTATTTGAAAACTGTGGGGCCACTGATTCACTATTACCTCTGGGGAAACTGAAGGCTAAATAAAACTAATGGGAACCCAGAACCACAGCACACTAGAGCTAAGACACCGATAACCAGACAAAACCTCTCAGATACACAGATAAGGGCCCTGAGGCCAGATATAAAGCTACGTGCCCAAAGTTAGAGAGTCATGCAGGACGTGGCTATATGTCTTAAGTGACTGACAGGCAAGAGTAATCACATTTAAGGTGAAGTCCCATCAAAATTGTTGCAATCTGAAATAACATAACAATATAAAATTGCTGTATTATAACCAAGTACATTTAAGTGAATGTCTATTGCTGTAGTGAACTAAAAAACCACAGAGGATCCACTGTTGGGTTGTGTCTACCCAATGCCAAGATTAGACATGCATTATTTATGCACATGATGAGGGCATGCAACTAAAAGGAATGCTTTGTTTCCACAACAGTGTCCCCTAGGATGATAACTACTGTTTCACCATTTGCCACTGACTAGTAACACTTGAAGTAACTTTCATATTGTGCTGTGATATTTTCCCACCAGGACTTGCTGTGGTTCTAGGTGATGAGATTTTAGACAGATGAAATTTGTGAATGCTTCAAAACTTTTGTGGATAAGTTTTCACAGCTTTAAAAGGAACAACAGAAATTAAGATGGCCTTGCTATGTGAAAATGTTTGGAAAATTGTACCCCAGCAAATCCTGCAAGTACTGCTGTGTGACCCACTGTGTTAAAGCTTTTCCTTTCAAAAGACTATCCATAGCCACTCCCAAAACATATCTACTTACCCCAGAAGAGGGCCTTACCCTAACATTCAACAATGTTAGAGACAGAGATGGCTGCATTTTCCCAAAACTTTGTGTGAGACTGGGAAACTCTCTACAATCCCGATTATCTTTTCCATTACAGAAGATCAACCACATTGTGCTCCAAACTCCCATCCCTAGGCCCCAAACCAACTACTTTATCTACTGATTTCCAGCAGTTTACTGATGTGCTCTTGCATATTACAAAACAGAAGATTCTTTTTTGATTCCATAACCATCTCCAGCTATGATGTGATTTCTCAACTCCCCACATTTCTCCTCAGAGTGCCCATACCAGTATCTCACCATTCTCATCTGCATTCTCTCAACCCACTTAGTTGACTACCCCTCACTTCCTGTCCCCACCCTGCTTTTGTGATGAGTGTCCAGTTTCGGGTTTCCAGTACAATGATTGACTGTCTTTAACTTGCATGAACCTTACCTGTACTTGACCTGTTCAATCCTTCCCTCTGCTTAAAAGTACTGTGCTCTCTTGGCCTTTGTGATCACCTTTCTCCTGACTTTCTACCTTACTAGAGGGTCCTCTCCATGTCTTATTCCCTTGTCTTTGTTTAACTCCTAAAGGGTTCAGTATTACAAGGCTAAATCAAGGGCCCTCTTCTCTCCCATGGAAATCTTTAGCCAGTTTATGGTTTAAATATATAGCCTATACACTGTTTATATCAAGAGTTCATCCTGTTTATCTACCTCCCTCCTTGATTTAACCATACAAAGCTAATCAGCATCTCAAAGTTTGCATGTTTATGCAGAAATAGTGATTCTCCTTGAAACCTACTCCCACCATAATTTCCCTAACACAATAAATGGCACCATGATTCCTCCCAACTCAAAACATAATACATACAGCAACAAATTCTGGTAGCTCTACCTCTAGAACATGTTTCAGTCTGTACCCACTTACCTCCCCCATGGCTATCCTGTCCTAAGCCACGGCCATCTACCTGACCTCCTTACTTGGCTCTCACCGGCCATTGCTTGAGATATAGCCAGGCTATGTTCAAGACAATCAGATCTCATTACTCTTTTGCTTAAACATCTTCGAAAACTTCCTTAAAATCCTAGCGTCTAATCCTAGTTTAGAGAGCCTGACCCAGTCTGCGACCCAGTCTGCAGCCCAGCCTGCTGCCCACCTCGCTCACCAGTTCTCTCACTGTACCTGGCATGTCCCAAAGCCAGGCTTGCCGTCCTCCTGGGGACCTGCAACAAACGCGCTCGCTGCCAACACTGCTCATGGTCTGCATGGGCCCGCCCCTCCACGGGGGCCTAAGGCCAGCTAGAAGCTGCCTCGTCAGTCTACCCACCCAAAGTCATCATCACATTTTTTAATTCAGAGGGAGCAAGAATAAAATTTTCATTGCTGTCAACCCTATGTCTATAAATATTTCTGGTATATTAAGAGGTCCATATAAATGTTTACTAAATGAGTGATGTGATATCTAAACCTCCTTTAGCCAGCAACTGAAAGATGAGGTCGTATAATGTATATAAACATATTTAAACAATGCCCCTTTTATTTAAAGCACAGCTATAAGGACACCACTTTGTTTGAAAGAGCTGCAGGTCAGCAAAAAGCAAGTATATTTACCTTATTATTACATCGTAGGAGTCGATTTTTTCCCCTAATGTCTTATTCTTCAAAATTCCTCCATTACCAACCACCACACACTTTTTACATGGCACACTGTTGGGCAAATAGGTAAGTGAGAAATTTAGCCATTTTTCACAGAAGTGGGTCATTACAAAGCCTCTTCAAACTTTCAGAAACCCAGTGCCAAGTTTCACTTGCTACACTTGTAGGAAAATGACCACCTGGGACTTAAAGAGCTAGGGATAAATTATTAAAGTATAAGATCAAGAAGTAACATTGCACAGCATGTCAGCAGTAATTATTAACTCTCACCAGTCCATATGCACACTCTCATTTGATTCTTACAACCACCCACTGCCATAAGTGAACCTGATAGTCCCATTTCGCAAATGAAAAGGGGTTCAGAAAACTATCAGTAACATTTCAGGGGCATGCTACCAAGAATGACCTTGAGGATTTGGATTCAGGCCTATAGAAGCACTACTGACATGGGATCCTGCTAGTTACTACTGATAAAAGTGTGCTGGGCTGTTACTGACATGAACATGAACATCAACTGCCCCCAGATCCCAAGGTTGTAGCTCTATTGTATCTTCTCCATGTGGACATGAGCCACATGCCATCCAGGGGGGTAAGTATACCTTCTCTGTACCTGCCCATGCTCACTTCAGACCCCAAGTGAGCTGGTCCAATACATAACCAATACAAGTTCACTGTGTTCCTTCCAAAGAACTGTAAAGTAGCACAGAAAGGGGATTTCCCACACTAGCTGGGATCAGCTGAGGGCCATGTGGCTCATGTAGCATCAGCTATTTGAGTGCATCGCCACGACCCACCCACTTTCAACACCCTATCACCACAGGCCCCACCAAGAAAGATAAAATGTATCATGTCCTCCTCAAATGTCAGACCTAGAAAGAAGAACTAGGGTACAGACCAGAGGTAAGGGCAGCTGGGGGTGGAGTGGGGGGAGAGGATTCACCAGAGACAAAATGGGGAACAAAACATGCACATAAACTGATACACACTGCTAAGGGGGAGCAAGGGATGAGGTGGGTGAGGTCTGCTGTGCCGTGTGGGTCACCTCCCGGGCCAGAGCCCAAACTCATGCTTCAGTAGCTATGTAACAGGTGTCCTCAGGAAAAGGGGAGGTTCCAGGTTCCCCACCCCACCCAAAGGAGGTGGAGCTGAGCAGAGAGAAGAATCTGAGAAGAGACTGAAGAAGAGGAAGCAGGCTGGAGAGCCAGAAGGTGACCTGATGGAGGCTCATGGAGCAGAGACATGTGAAGAAGCAGCTCTTGTTTCTTGGCCCTGGACTGATTGAAAGAGATGTAGGTCAGAGACCCGTGTGGAGGTTGACTATGGCAGAATTTATCTTGATTTTGATTTTGCTCTTTTCTTCCCAAACTTGTCTGGCCATTTCTGACCCTTTTCTATGGGTCACCACCAGAAGGTACTTTAGACTTGTGTCAGGCTTTCAGGCCTGCCTTTGGGCCAATCCCTTTTGGGTGGACTTTTACCCACAAGAGGATGGGTTACTTTGGGTGTCTGAATTTGGAAACTATATTCTTTGTCTTCTCTGTATTCCACACTGATTGTATTAAGTTCCTTTCCATTAAAGATCTTACATGTACATGTTTTGTCTTGATGTGGTGGACAGTAGAGCCGATTAAGAGTGGGCAGGTTTGGGGACTCAGGAGTGTTTCTCTCCCTGGCCTGTAGCAGCTTGATAGCTCTAAGACTTTAACCCCAGCACCCAGGGAAGATTTATAATCTTTGTGTTTTTAAAGATTTATTTATTTATGCATAGAAGAACTGGAGTGTAGGCCAGAGGTGTGGGGTAAGAGGATTCACCAGAGACAAGATGGGGAACAGAATAAGAGGTGGATTTACTGAAATTCACTGCTCAGGGGAGCAGCAGGTAAACAGGAGAGGCCTGTGGAATAGATCCCCGGCAAGAATGGAACTCAAGGCCAGCAGTGAGTGTGATAGTGCTGAGGCTTACACCACCAGGGATACAGCACCACTCCCACCCCCGGAAAAATAAAACAGCTTTCTAAGAACCATGAAATCAGCAGAGCAGATGAATTCCAGACTGTCAGGCTCATTAGAAATTAATAAGTAGCATGACTGTACCTAATGTCCCACATTTAAACAGAACACAGGAGTCCAGGAACCACATATTGGCCATGTCAGGTTGAAAGACTGTCCACATTCATAACATCTTTTACTTAGAATTTGTTTAGCTTATCTATCTGGTAAGTTTGTAATACTCTAAAAATTTACACATTTTAATTTGCAGCTCCAAATCATGTCTAAAAACCAGTGTATTACATCAGAGATTCACAGGGGGCAGTGGTGGGGGTGGGGCTAGGGAGCAGACTTTTGGGGACCCAGCAGTCCTGAGGAGGTGACCCTAGCCCCCTTGGTTTCCACAGAGGTTTGCTTCACAATGTGCCCTACAGTTTCTTCCCAAACTCCTTTTGTATTGGCCTCAACTGTGAGAGGGACATTGCCTCTAAATGCTTTCATCTACAGGTGCAACATTAATTCCTATTTCAGGAAGGCTATTTTTTTTTTTAAAGGTGCTCTATGGTCTGGTGGCAGGAGAAAGATAGGAACACTATAAAATATTCAAAATCCTCTTCACCAGAGCCACCAAGAAGTGGGGACAATCCCCATGCCCAATTTGCTGGGCCTTTCCATGCCTAGCCTGGGGAAATGGGGAGTGCCTCGACCTGACACATTAGGGACCAAACCCCCCAGGGTGGCTCCACCTCCCCCAGGGCATGCAGAGGAGGCTGGGCCCTGGGGAGGGAGGGAGCTCAAAGGACCAGCTCTCAGTGATAGCTCAGATCCTGTGAGGTTACCTTCCTGAAGGTGGAGGGAGAAGATGGATTAATTATGGTACCCAGATAACTGTCTTTCTGGAATAAAGGCTGGAGGTCACTATCCTTCCAAGGAGAGGCCACAGCTACCAACATACCCCAGGCTTCTTATGCTGGAACAAGGGACTCCTGACCCAGACGCCTAATCTCTGAAGTTGGAGCTCCAAAAGAGGTAACTCAGCTCATTCTCAGACACACTACAATCGTGTTCAGCAAGGACCTGACAGGCTGTGTGCAGCGTCATAGGAATGCCCCTTGGTGTGGCCGTATTGGGCTGGATAACAGGCGCCATCACTACATCATGGGCGGGTATAACGCATCACAAGAGAAGCTTTGTCTCGTGGTGATAATATGACACAGCCCCATCCCCACTCACACTTGAAGACCTGGTCCCTTTCTCACAGGCTTACAGAGCTTCCCAGTAGAGAGAAAAGAGGGAGCTGACAGCTACAGACAGGTCTCTTCTATAGGAGCGCCAAGGATTTGCTAAGAGAGGGCCCTCCTAGCACCTGGTCTCAGGTCAAGGTCCCTCACAGGGTCTCAGTAGTTTCAAGGATTTAGTAAAAAGGCAAAGCAAGGTCTTGAGCCCCAGGGCAAGTTAGGTGTAATTAGGCAGCTTTAGGGACAGTCCAGGCAGGAACTCCAGGAGAGTTAAGGAAGGCTCCAGAGATAAGGGCAACAGAAGAAATGAAAGAAATTCCAGAGATAAGACTAACAACTTCCAAAGGCAGTTAATCAAACACCCCAGGACCAGGGACAGCAATGTTCCTGGACCCGGGTGCCTTAGCTCTGGTGACCTAAGACAGTGAGACTAGGGAAAACTAACCATTCACAGAGACTGGTGGGGCTTTAGAATAATTAGGGAAAGACGGTCTCTATACCTGAGGCACGACTCTTTACTTCTCCCTGGTTCCACAGGCCTGGGAGTCACACTTTATTTCTCTTCCTTTTCTGCCCCCAATAAACTTTTTCCTTCTCTAAGCAAATTTGCCTCCTTGCTTGCTTGCAAAGTTCCTGCTGAGGCTTCCTGAGAGACCAGCCCATGGTGGTACAGTGGCTGGGACTCAGCACTGCTTCTGTAGCCTGGGAGCCATTCCTGGCTGGGAGACTAGGCCTGAAAACGCAAAATTATAGTATCAGCCTCCCTTGTGGTGCAAGGGGTTAAGTGTCAGCACTATGAAGCTGTCTGCAGCATGAGTTCTATCCAGGGAGCTGACCCATATAAGGCGCAGCAGACCTCTCCCACCTCTCTGCTTCCCTCCGCAGTGTATTGCGTAAATTCCCCTACTCTTCCCTCTGTCTCTAGTGAATCCTCTCATCCTCTCTCAGCTATGCTCCAACCCAAGCCCCCCTCACACCTCTGGCCTACATTCCAGCTCTTGTATGCATAAATAAATCTTTAAAAAAAAAAAAAAAAGACAAAGCAATCGCACAGATACCATCTCACTCAAGAGCTCCAACTCTAATTATGCTTTATAATTCATATTTTTTGGAAATTTCTTTTATATCTCCCCTGTCAGCTTTATAGAAGGCAGCAGGTGGAAGGCAGCAGGCCTATTATAGGAAAAGTTTGCCAATACCTTTGAAAGAAACCTTGCCAAGGAAATTGCACTTTTGTGCCTGGTAAGGGGTGTGACAAAGGCCCACACATTTTACCAAGGATCACATATAACATTGCAAACTCTTTTGGGGATGTCCTCAGAAGTACTGTTGGGCAATAACATCTTATCGGCAAGTCGTATTCTGATTCTGGAGAACCTGTAAAGATTTGTGATACGCTGTTTGCCTCACACACCTACTCATAATTCCTTTCTCTCCACTCGTCCCAACAGGTCCCCACTTATTACTCAGGGAGTGAATCATCCTCTCTGGCTTCATCCACTTAACCTGAGATCCTGCTTCCCCTGTTTCCTGGGGGTGAATCAGTAACTCCAGTTGTCGTTTGGGTGATTATATATCTTCACTAAAATTACTGGACACAACCTTCATGCAAGACAGCTGTTGTGAACTGTGATGCCCAATAGGCAAGACCCGTCTCAGTAACATGTCTGAGTCCTCCAATCTTCCTGATCCATGGGCTTTGCATTTTTTAAATCAGGCAGGTTGTTACATTAAGCATGGTTGTCATTTTCTATTTTGTGCCTGGAGAAATATACCTGCTCTTTCCTCCTGCACCCTGGAAACAGCATGTGCCCCAAACTACTC